GAAATAGGAATAGGAAATAGGAACTAGGAATGATATAGAAGTTCCAATCAAAAGAACATTGACCTTATAAGAGAGTCCAAAAAAAGAAAAGAAAAGAAAAAGGTGATGGTCACTCCCGATTGCAACCCTAAGAGAAGAAAAACAATTTAGGTTACTATCTTATATATACATATATACACATATATATAAATATATAAATATATAAATATATAAATATATAAATATATTGAATCTAGATAATTAAACGTATAAACGTATAAAAAAAAATACGGAGTACATGTACTCCCGTACTCGGTATGCACATAGTCCACGCCGAGGTCGACTATTGGCAATGGCTGCGGGCACCGACGTCGATCCGTCAATCTTTTCCACCTTACTTAGTCCTGATTGGTATACACTGCCACCCCTCTGCGGAAAAAATGGAGAAAATAAAGAAAATAAAGGGAAAAAAAAAAAGAAAAGAAAAGAAGAGTCTCCTTTCACTAGTGGAATCCAATCCCTTTCCTTTCTACCCGCTCGGAGGGGGTGTCACTGACAGCACTCTGTTTTAAGACCAAAGTCCCGGATAGAAGAAGAGGGGGAAGAGGAGGGGGGAAGAGAAGAGGGGGAGTAATAGAGGTTGGAAGGTATTCTGTATTCTGTATTCTGTTATTCTGTATTCTACATGGGTATATTCCCTTTTCAATCCCCCAAAAGGGAGAGTCTTAGAGGGGCAACGGTTAAAATGCATTAATTCCCCAATGATCTACCATGACGAAGATCAAATCTATCAGTTACTAGCGTTTGCATTGACCACTACTCTTTCCTATGTTGTATGTGATCAAGTTTAAGACTATCGAACGCCTTAAGATCAAGTGGGGGTGTAACGGAGTACTTTTTATTGATTTTCTCGACTTGGGGCGACATTTCACCACTTTCACCACTTTCCGGTATACTTCACCGGTTTCTCCCCTTTTAACCACACGGAACGTGGGACGTGTGATCAAGAGGTAAGGCGTGGGGGCTTTGACATTTCCCTGCACCTTGATCCTAGCTCAATGATCGACCGCCATCCTGCAATAAGTTGCCCTGGGAAGACATGCGTATGAGTAACCCTGTGTCCTGCTGTCATCTAGAAATCTCCCAGTCTATTTTCTGACTCCTCCAATAGCGGATCTCTCCACTATATTGATTATAAGCTTGCGTCCTCGGCATTGGATCTTTTGGTGACTCTTGTTCCTTTCTATATTCTTACACCGCGCTTTCGTTTTTTTTTTTTTTTTTTTCGTTTTTTTTACTTCGAGGTACACTCCCAGATCTATTACTCAGATATGCTACCCCAAAGTACCGCGAAATTCAGCGGTCCTTGCTTGTGAATGTGAACAAAGATCTACCAGGGAAGAAAGTGAAAAGAAAAAGAGGTGAAAACAAAAGCAAAAGAACGAAAAGAAAAAAAAACACCCGAAAGAAGCATTTGCCCCGTGGGCCTTTTCCCTTTCCTGCCCGACACCCGATGCAATCACTCGTGCTTCACCCCCCGAGCCTCAATATCCCCCAGTTCGGACAATCCCGATTCAAGGGCCCAGAGCGGCTGCCGTTGAATCGATCTTGGTCACCCAATGCTCGAGGGTGTAGTCCCTGGGCTCCTATACCCAATCAATCTATGTCTGGATCCCCTCCAGCAAAACCCTCGGAGCCATCCGCAGAGATCAAGCCTCGGGGATATCCTTCCTCTCCCGTAGTCACGGCTGAACGGTCTGCTGTGTCTGCACTGGAGCTATCACAAGGACCTGTTAATGAGCCACGATCACAGTTTGGATATAACGAACGGGGACCGGTATATGCTGAATCTCCACTACCAGGAGCACAGCCGTGTCCACTCCCAACACTAGACCCAACACATCCCACAGGTCGCCCGCTGGCACAAAAATCAACCCGACGTACAAAAGCGCATGTGGCATCGGCTTGTGTCAATTGCAAGAAAAAGCACCTTGGATGTGACCCAGCTCGTCCATGTCGAAGATGTGTGCTTGCTGGAAAAGCTGTAAGTGTGAAGAAATACCCCGTGAACTGTGCAATTGCAGCTAACGAGTGCGGGAAAAAAAAGTCAACATGCGTGGATGTCACGCACAAAAAGCGAGGACGACCCCCGTTGAAAGCAGAGGATTCGTCTCTCAGGTCCTATACCACACATTTGGATAACCCGGCTATCCCAGCGGAGGCCCACCCAACCATTCCCCCGCGGCGGACCACTATGCATCGAGCCACATCTTCACGAGAACTACGGCCCATGACAGACCTACAGGGATTGGGAGATGTAAACTCGGCAGTACAGACACCACATCGGTGGTCCGCTTCAGTATTTCCTCTAACGCGGCCTATGGACCTCTCCCCCACGATTCCGGGGGGTATGACCCGACGACCATTCTCTTCATCTGGTCCGCCATCCCATTCAGTACCGACACATCCACACGCACCTTCGCCATACATGCCAATGGCAGGGTTTAATCCAGTGTTAAAAGGCAACACCATATCTGGTAGTATGGAGCGGCGATTCCCAGCATATGGCGTCCCAGCATTACCACCACCAACATCACCTCCCCAACATCAGCCACCGCCAATCGGGATACCCTTTCTACCGTATACCGAGACGCCTGGAAATCATATCCGCCCAGCAAATGATCCACGAGTATCACTATCGCCTCGGAACCCATACAACATTGAATCGCCAGTCCGGCTCCCTCCAATCCATCAGGCCACAGCCGGGCCACCACCTCCTCCTCCTCACCATGTCCATCGCCTGAGCGACCCGTACCCGATGAATTGGACTCTCCCAGGCCGAGAAGAATCTCTTCACGACTCCCGCGCTCTTCCTCTCCACAGATCTGCAGGCCCGGTCTTCAACTACTCCCTTCCTCACCAACGCTCCTCCTCCATAACAAGCGCAACCATGGATCCCATACCCCGCCACCTTGGACCAGTGGAATTGCCGTCCCCGATCCAGATGACATCGGGCAACTCGCCTTCCCTGACGAGAGCTGAACCACCCAGCACCGAAGCTGAAGGTCACGACAGCCGGCCTATTAAACGGCGCAAGATGGCTTTGGATGACATGGTCAACGGCTGATTTTGACACTGCTCTTAATCCCATAACCAACATGACACTGATACTGATACCAATCGGAGGCTGGAGTTCCTCCTTGTACTGTATAATGATACTTACTTGAATCCCCTGTAGCAGGGTCTGGGGAATAATTATTGCACCGTTTGCGAATCTTTGCCGGTGCGAGCACCGAGCAAATGATTCTCGACGGACAGTTTTGGATTTATTTTCAACTCCTCAGCTTGACCCCAATTCCCACGTCTCGATTCATTTTGTTTTTCAAATATGCAGGACATGAAAAAGCATATGTTCTCATTTCCCGGTGTTTTCCCTTTTTCTTTTTTTTTTTTTTTTTTTGGTCCCTTTTTCCTATGTCTATGCGCCAGGATATCCCATCCGCGTTGTTTCCTGCTTTGCTTGAATTGCATTTTATCATATCACCATCTCAGACATCATTCTCGGATATGCTTGTCTCTCTACTCTGCTGGACAAAATGGAAGGTGGCTGGTTGAGGGTCTCTTTTGTCTGCCATCTCATTTGTCGTCTGTTTATCCCTTTTGTCACTCGCATCTCATTTGTCTATCTCCTTCGGCTGATTCCCCTTCTCGCGAGTACCCCCTACAGTTGATGCGCGATTTTTTGTCCTCGAGATATCATGGCATGGCGTTTCGCGAACATGGGGGTGGTCTTGCATTGGTTTTTGCTCTATTTTATATTTTGGCTCTTTGGCGTATATGAAATGTCATTGACAGCTTAGTTTGGCTGTTTACCTTGACGTTGTCTCTGATCGATTGTACTTTGGTGTCTGTACGTGTATGCGTACAGGACTATGTATATACACATGTAGTAGGATAAATAACTACCACTCATCCATGTCAGTCTTGGACCTGATGTAGATAGGGTATAATTTCCATCTAGTTAACCGCTGCTTACTTTTCAGCGAGGTAATAACCTCCTTCCTTCCTATGTTGTAGGTTGCCGACTGTATGCAGACATTTTAGGCTTGGTCTATGAGATTAACCGAATTTGAGCGATTGTTGAATACTTTCTTCTAATAATAGTAGAGATATTAAGAATATAAAAATAAAAATATAAAAAAATGCACTAAGAGGGAATCGAACCCCCGGCACAACATAACTCAGTAGTCAGGTGACCACTTGGAAGTGTTATATGTTACCACTACACCATTAGTGCTGGTTATGATAATGCATAATTTCTTTAATTTATAACCTATTACACGAATTTTCCAAAGAGTAATCTCAATATTCAATTCTTGTCGAGAGTCTAAAGGAATTCGCTAGTATAAATGTCAGTGTGGGCGACGATACGGTATCAACTATAATGGAAGCCCCTAAGATTGTATTTATGCATAACGAGACGTGGTCGGAAAAAATCAATTGGTATTCATACTGTGGTTGGATATATATATTGGTGAGATTTCCCTCTATTTTGCCAACTATTTTGATCAACACATTAAAGATGGATAAAGAAATAAAACCCCAGATTCATACCAAAGGACAATATATAGAAAATTAGTGTAGCCTTTTTAGAATTATCGATGAGATATACATGGCAAGCTTACTAGCTAGCAGGCACGCCTAGTAAGACAGACTTCCAGAGATAGAAACCTACCATTTTTCTTCTATCAGCCTTTCTATTTCACCCTCCATCCTTATTTACATACTTATGTCTTTGATAACAATAACCAAGTATGTCCCTTCTATCAATTCCTCTAAGTCCCTACCTACGTGTAGATAGGGACAACCTCTGATTACGGCCAAGTTGAAGGCGCGTATCATAACCATTTGCTTTTTTCCTGCTAGTAGTACAACCGTTGCCTCCCTCCCCCTTCGGCCGAGCCAATTTGCCATGTTCAATGTATTTAGTGGACTTGATCTTGGAATGGCCATACCCCCCACTATGCCTCTCTCTGCCCAAGAGCTTCTAAAATATCTTCCATGAGTTGCACAACTTCTTCCCACTTCTGCTGATCTACCTTTTGCTGCAGGATATCACCGTCAGTAATAATGATCGGGCATAGTGTTCCATCTGTGTCAACTGTTGCACTAAACTGCTGAATAAGTTGGGTCAACTGGCCCTTCATAATTGTTTCGCCGTTGTTAGGAAGTGGCAGAATTGTGGACAAGAAGGCGGTGAATAACCAAATTAAAAACGACAGTTGCAGCGTTCGACTGCGCCCTCGAAAGGATCAGATTGCATGAATGGGTAAGTATTCACTGTAACAGAGTTAGTTAATAATTCATTTGGAAGGTTGATTGGGTAGTACGAACGTCTGGCGCGTTAGACCACTCCACCCAGAAAGAAACCTACCAAACAAAGGCTCAGAGTAGCAAACAAACATTGAGGGCGCGTTAGACCTCCGCTGGATACTACCTACATGTAGTAGCAACGGCTTATGTTTTGTAGTGCAGACATTATACTTGGGCAATATACAACTAACCTGAGGGACGGATCTAGACCGGGAGCAGTCATCAACCACCCCTATGACAGTCTCTTGCAGAACGAGAATTTCAGAATTATATAGACTTTTCAAGTCGAGAACGCTAATTCATTTGCACCAAACCAAATTAATATAGGAATAAGATAGAATAATGAGCAATGCTCAATTTATTACACACAGTGCTGCTACTTGGACATTTGAACATCTCGATATATCAGCCTCCCCTTCATCTGACGAAAAGTACTGTGAGATACGACCTTGCTTTCTTTGTCCACGGTACCACCAAGCGCCCTAGACTGCCCAGAAGTAGTGAACAGAATTCGAACTGGCCAATGCGCATTCCTGGAATGTGCAAAGAGCAAGTCCACAAACTCCTGGCACATGTCCCGTGCGCTTCCCTCAAGAAGATTGAGCCTAGAGATGATGCAGTACCGTAGGGTAGGTGTATTCTCCAGCAGGTATTTAAGCAGCGATAAACCTGTTGTCCAACGCTCCCCTGGCTGCGTGAGTCGATCGAAAATCTCCGGCCGTAGGTACACTCTGTCATCAGGCAGTTGGAATTGTAGTAGCTGGCAGATTAAACTGTAAACAATCGCCATAACGCCAGCTTTGTCTTCGACGTTGCGAATCTCGGGGATACTCCCGTATTGGGGTCGTTGGCAGATGTAAGATACAAACTGGGCTCGAGCTCGGATTGCCGTCCAAATAACCCCGAGAGCAGCGAGTTGGGCGCTGGTTTGTGGGCCTGTTTCGAAGGGGCTGATAATCCAAAGTTTGAGAGAATTGCCCGATGTAGCTTGTGCCCAATTCCCGAGGATTTGGACAATAGCAGGCTCGGCGACAAGTCGTCCCGTTTGGAGGGCGAGTCTGATTCCATCACAGCCTCCCATTTGATCGATTTTCGGCTGAAGGCGTTGACAGACCCATTTGGCCTCCGACCTGTTGAGGCCCCCAGGAACATCGACAATTTCTGCAATTTCTCTTTCGTTTATTGATGAAGTACCTTGTGCTATTGTTCTTCCGGTCTCGTGTTGGCCTTGCAGCTGCATGCGTTCGAAGCGTTCTTCCCATTGACCCACTAGAAAAATTCCAGGACTGTTAGCGAGACATTGTGATGGGATTTAGATATAAGGAGACGTTGCGTACTGCGTTCAGTCATCTGCAGCATCAGGGTTGCCATTGTTCCGCCAGCCTCGTTTTTCTCGTTTCGAATCTCATTTACCCACGTAGCGAGCCGCTTTTCAAAGGAGGTAAATGACTGATCAAGCTTGTTTAGCTGCCATGCGTTCTCGATTAAGGCCTGATCACGGATGAGTCGAATGGAGCGTTTGATCGTTTCGGTGGTGTCCTCGTAGCCCGTAGTAAAGTTTGAGTTGAAGGAATCGAGCCATTTTGAAGGTTTTGGTTTCATATACCAGGTGGCTACCCTGATGAAGAAATGGAAGTATTGCGTATAGATATCGGACAGTCGCTCTTGCATGGCCGGGTTGTCATAAAGGTCGAGCCACTGTGTACAAACAGCGATGCTCTCCGATAGCTCTGCTATATAGCCCGACAGCTTTTCCGCAATAGTCGAGTAATTAACCGAAGCCTATTCAATCACAAATAAGACCAACCCCTTTTTGCGTGACCTGAAACTCTCACCTGAATGACCATCGTGATAGCACCACACAGAGCAGAGGTGTAAGAGGTTTGACTTGGGAAACATTGAAAGATTTGCTTGTGTGCGTCAAACTTTTGGCATATCTTTACGAAGTTCGTCGCCGCCTAAAAGAATTATTTTTAGTTAAGCCACTGAGACGTTTGCCCTCCTTCCGCCACTGTGGTCCTTACCTTGCTGTTTGACTCCGTCCATTGAGTCTCAACTTCATTGATGATTGAAGTGACTTGATTCACTGTGAGCTCCCCTCGTTGGCGGATGTAACTAGCCAGTTTCTGTTCGGTCGCGTTTCGGTGGATGAGTCGTGAGAATCCTGATTTGCTCTTTTCCGCTTCTACCTTCTCATCCAAAGATTTGAAGAATTCATCGCATTTGGATTGGAGTGTTTGACGAGCTAGTTCGAGTCCTTTTAAAGAACTGGATGAGAAGGGTCAGCCTCTCCAGCTGACTCCTCTTGATTCCTCAATCTTCCTTTACCCCCTCTGACATACCTCTCTACTGATGGTTGATCATAATAAATACGATCCATTCGCAGTTTCTCTTGTGTGTTGATCTCTGCATCCAAGTTTCCTTGGTACGACTTGACCTGAGAAGCTAGATCTGAATCGTCTTTGAGTTCAGCAGTGAACCGACGCACCAGATCGGGCCGTGAGAACTCTTGTGTTGTATTCATAGTGTTTTGTCTGCTGTGTAGCAAAGAAGCAATATCAGCAGAACAACAGTGCCAGTTTAAACACACCCCTTGACCTGAAAATCCAACGGGAAAGGTCTAGCGATATGCTGACCTCAATTAATGCATCCGTCGAGGTCCATATACAAAGATACCCCCTAGCTAAAGTTGTCATTCGACCCAATTTGGCTAGTATAACTTCTGATTCGACGTCGAAAAAATCTTACCCCCGCTTCAGCCAAGTCCGTGATCACATCCCGCTTACATTTGCATTAGCCAAGTTCAAAGTCAACATAGACTCGTTCGTAGTTGTTGCTAGAATGCGAGACTTTCGGGACCGGATGCTTCCACGTGTCGGCACAAAATATGTTGTACATATATATGTACATGTAGGGAATCTCTTTAACTAACTACAACATAGTTATAAAGTACTCAGTACTCGTTCGGGAATTGGACTAGATCTGCGGGGGTGGTTGGGCTGACATGCATTATCTGCAATAAGCTGAGTGGAGTGGAACCAATTCAAGTGGATTTTGCTAATATGAACTGAGATGCGCCATACGAGTTTACATCAGGAGTTTTCAGCCCCCAAATTGCGTCTTACATCGCTGCCGATATAAATAGCCAGATACGAGCTGTGCCTGGAGAGCGAGACATGGAGTTGAAATCCAAAGAGTTGCCGCTAAAATTCCCAGTCTCTTTTTCTCCCTTCAGCAACTGTCGTGAGCAATGGAAATTCTCACAGAGCCAAGCACTCGCCCTTCTGGATTTGAGGCTCATGAGGTGCAGTCTACAATGGAAGACAGTGCACTTGCCAATCTAGCGACTGGTAAGTTCAAATGAAACAAAGCGCTGCAGAGCTCTATCAGCTGATTAGACAACAAGCGAGCCAGAGCGCTACAAGTGTAGTCAAAGCAGAGGGAATCGTGAGTGAGACAAAAACGCCCGACGGAATAGAGATCCTGGATGTCAAAGATATCACCAAGGTTGAGCCAGAGTCGTCCTTAGACAAGGAGAGTGGTGCGGACAAGACATCTCCTGAAGTCGACGGAATCGTTGCCACAGCAATTACGGCTGCTACGAAGAGTCAAGCAACTATCATTTTTGTTGATCCTTTTGGCACGCGTTGGACCTTTCCATACGAGGATTCTAAAACTTGGGACGTAAGTCATGCGGGCTTGCTCTTCTGCTTGTCTCTGCTGAATCTTTGCAGGACACCAAGAAACTGATCAAAGCCGTCTTTGACACATACTCCACTGAATGGCTTGCGCATTACCTGGATGAAGAAGAAAACACTGACGAAACATTTTCCATTATAAAAGTTCAACCCGAACATTCAAATATCCTGCCCAGTCATTGGGAAAGTTTGGTCTCACCCGGATGGGAATTCAAGCTTGAATTCACATTCGATGTGCTCTACTCTATTCGCAAGCGGAAAAGGCTTGCAGAAGAGGAAGAAGCTGCGGAAAAGGCCGATAAAGAGGCTGAAGGACCTGACGTGGTGGAAGAATTGAGTAAGGTGTCTTATGTCGCAACATATTTGGCCCCGGATAGCGATGGTGATTACCAACGCCGTAATACGAAGCGACTCTCCGACAAGACAATCTTTACAAAGATTTCCGATGTTCAGATCCCTAAATCTGTGATTGAGGAGCATAGAGAAGTCTACTGCAGCAACAAATATCCTACCGATCCTGAGGATGACATGTTCGACACAATTAGCAGTCCGGTACTCTACATTCACTCGCCAATTATTCTCAATGCCCTCAATGCTATCATTGATTGCCAATCACGACCAGACAAGATCCCTCGAGTCGAATATCGCGTCGAAGGAATAGAAAGTGATCTCGGACAGGGTCGGTTAGTGTACCCTTTCACTGATCTTCATCACTATAGGGAGAGATTGCTCCAGTATCGAGAGGAAGTGGGTGAAACTCATGACGCCGAGTACACCACAACATGCCAAGAGCATATTGACATTCTGGTTGAATATCTGGATGGGCTAACAACAATTGGCGTGAGAGACGCGGAATTTCTCTGGAACAGCGATGTCCCAAAGACGACTTTCAGCTCTCTCTGGCTCTTGTTAAAGCCTGGAACAGACGTCTTTGTTCAGGAGCAAGGAAAACTGAATGCATATGTCATCGAATCATTTTCGGGAGGAGTGCCATGGGGTTCTCCTAATGCTCGTTCGCAGCCATACATTGTGAATGTTTGGAATCTCAACTCTGACGGCCAAATCCTAAGTCGTTCCGTTAAAGAAGTCAGCATTTCTATTTTTGACGGGCAACGCGAAATTACCTCTCTTCCTCTATTTCCCATCAAGTTTCATGTGGACGAGGACCCACAGAATCCTCTACGTCGGAAATTGGTGGATCGAGGGAAAAGATTTGTCGATATGGTGAAGACGCCTACATTCCAGGAGTACAGCGGTCCAAGTAGACTACAAGGCAATCGAACTGTAAGTTAAGCATGGGATGCATCTACACTCATTGTTTTATTCCCAGGCATTGTCCAAATCTCACACCCATATAGTTTAACCAAACGCGAGTCGTCGTTGATCACGCTAGTCAACCATGGAGACTGAGCGAGATCTCCGATGAAAAGCACGCCCATTTTCCGTTTGAAGAACTCTACGACGTTGAGCTGGGCCAAAGAACAAGGATGCCAAAATGCGTATGCAAAACATGCCAGGCGAACAGTCTGCGCCAACACGGAATTCAACGTCGCGTTTTCGACGACTACGATAACATTGATTTGAGCTCGGTTTCCACCCTAACCAATCATCAATATCTACTATGTTGGTCGCATGTATATGCATACGTGTTGAAAGACCGAGTCTGGGGTATGAATTGACATGTTTCTGCTGGTTGGGGCACCGCTGATTACGGGAAATAGATATACTGGAGGTATCCAGCCTGAGGGATCCAAAGATACATAAAGGTATCATTGACACGCTGGTTTTGAAGCCTGAAAGCAACAAGCAATTGATCAAGGCCGTCTGCGAGATATTCGGTGGAACGTACAAGCAGGCTTTTTCTTCAGACTTTATTCAGGGCAAAGGAGAAGGACAGATCTTGCTACTTCATGGTCCTCCAGGAACAGGGAAGACTCTCACGGCCGGTATTAAAAATCTCTAGATTGAAGAAAGTCTTGATGTGACCTGTTACTAACCATCATCATGGTACCAGAGTCTGTTGCAGAGTATACAGGTCGACCTCTTCTTAGCATTACTGCTGCAGATTTAGGCCATGAACCAGTGCCACTGGAACAAAATCTGCTTCGTTTCTTCAGAAATGCAAGACATTGGAACGCAATCGTTCTTCTCGATGAAGCGGATGTTTATCTCGAAACTCGGTCTGCCCAGGATCTTCGACGGAATAGTATTGTTTCTAGTAAGTTGGCGTGGTGCACTAGTGCAAATAGCGGCTAAGTAGAATTTACCTGCACCAGTTTTCCTGCGAGCCTTAGACTACTTTCAAGGCATTCTTTTCCTCACGACCAATCGCGTGGGAAGTTTCGATGAAGCAGTCTTGTCACGAATCCACGTGCAGATCGGATATGACCCACTCGATGAGGACTCAAGGAGGCAAATCTGGGATGGTTATTTCAAGAAGCTCTCCAAAAACCATAACAATGATGGCCAGGAGATTCGTTGCTCATACGATGCCAAAGAATTCGTCCGGAAGTCAGATGACCTCCGGGCACTCAGATGGAACGGCCGCGAGATACGAAACGGTAAGTAGCACGCAGCAATCTCACTTTCTCGACTTGATGCTGACACTATCCAAGCATTCCAAACTGCCGTGGCTCTTGCATGCTTCCACGCAAAGCAGGAAGGGAGTCCTATTCCAGAGTTGACAGATGACAATCTTCGTCAAGTCGTGAACATGTCTCATAATTTCAAGAGCTACGTGAAAGCGGTTCGCGGAAAGGAAGAGGATTATGCCTATGCGGCAGGAGTTAGAAACGATACCACAAAAACTTCTGGGGGAAGTGACGAACGATCGAGAAGCACGGATACGTCTACCTTCTAGTGACAGAGTCCCTCCCTCTTTCCCTTTCTCTTTAGGTCGGTTGTTCTTTCATTGATAAATGCACACAAAATATTTCTCTCTTAATCGGGGCATAATTGGATACTATAATGTCTCGTTACTATTAGACGATAGCACCTATTTGATGGAAGAGTGAGACAGTAACAGGAATGGATAGTAAGTTTAGGAAAATGGCAATATCTTAGATCTCGATCTTCACTTCCCCCTTGGTTCTATACGAACTAGCAAGCGGGGATTTCAGGAAATCCTCTTCCTACAATCCCTCACCTATAGGAAAGTCAGCACTTGGGGCAGGATATAGAGCTAGGCAAAATAGTCCAAGGAGGCATAGAAGATCATTGAGTAGGCACAGTGAAGGGACGATGATATCAGGAAATGGGAATAATTCGACAACATTAATTGCGATACCATCCAAGCTCTGGCAGACCCTGAGATAGAACTATCGACAGTGGAACGGTCGTATTCCTTGTCTAAATCAGATAGCCAAGAAAGATTAGGGGGTTAAATCACCAATTGATGGACTGAAAAATGATTAAATAACTCCGAGGCCGGTCAATGGGCAGTGAAAAGGTCGAAAGATGATTCCGATTCCTTTCCAGTTGACAAGAAGGTGGTTTCTAAAAAGGGAACAGGTGAAGCAGAAGAAAATAACTGAATTGGGCCTTGTGGCTGAGGTCTATACATGAAAAGTCTCTGTTCTATATAAATCAAGCAAGCTGGGAAATGGGAACCTTTGACCACCAAAATTCTGTTTCCTCCCTCGCCCAATTATCCGCGACACATTTCGCAGGAGGAGCAACGTTACCTCCGATAAGTTCGTCATTCCCCTCCCCAAAGATCATAACCTTTGTATCCGTCGGCTGGAAGGGCTTCCACTCTGGTCTTTGTTCATATCGACCAGATATAGCATTGGGGTCACCCGTTGTAATGAAACTAGTCAAGTAGGCATGAAGTGTGCCAGATAGCTCTTTTTGGGATTTTGAAATCCCCGTAATGGCACTGTTATAGGTCTCGTAGTACATATTATCGGCATGGTTGGCTCGACCGACGACCGTTTTAGGTAGAGCCCAGTGATAAAGATAAACTGGAGCACCTTGGGATGATGCAAATTGTGCTGTCTGGCGGACTGGTGCCACATATGCATAGTGTCCGTAAGCAGCTTCAATACGCTTATATTGAGGTCCGAGACCCTCTCCATGTCTGGTTTCAACATAGGGTGATGTGGGATCAACGGCGGGATCGGGGTAGAGCTTTTCGATTGTATCGAGATCAGACGACGAAAGCTCGGGAAGAAGATTGTGCCAGAACTCGCGGAACTGGGAGGTGGCCGACATTTTCTTGTCGACGTACATTGTTCCCTCGTTGCCGTTGAACCCGGTCATGATGGGTACTTGATTCCAGACTTTTGACTCCCATGCCTCGAGGGGCTTGCGAGAAATAATGTCTCCATCGATCACGGGCTGGAATGCCCACCGAAGGGAAGGGTTGTACTTGTCGAAAACAGCCGTTTGGGCATTTGTAACCGTCAAGCTGGGGAGTGAACGTAGGAATGGGAAGATTTCGGCTTCTGCTAGATTGGCTGGACAACCGACTTCTTGGAGGAAGTCTGCAAATTGGTCCTCGTGAACCTTGGCATTATATGGGCGAACAGCACGGGAAGTTGGCGCTCCCGACTCGATAATGACACGATGGAACAACGGCGATTCATGTTCATCGTAATTGAGGAGGTGGTGACCGATCTGGATTTTCGTTAGAATGAGATCTTTGGAGAATTTATTTATTTGAGAGAATTACTGAATGCGCCCCCGCAGAAAGACCAAACAAAGTGACGTTGGCAGGATCACCGCCAAAATTAGCGATGTTCTCTTGCACCCACTGCAACAAATGGACCTGATCACGCAATCCAAGATTTAGCAACCCCTCCTTCTGCGACAGACTCGAAGGCAGAAATCCAAGAGCTCCAATGCGATAACCGAAGCTCACGGCAACGAAGGGCTGTTCTGACCATGCCACCATGGAGGCAGTATTGTGCATAGTTGCCGACCCCCGATTAAAAGCACCACCGTGAATGTAGACTGCAACAGGGAGCTTGCCCGTATCCTTGCTTCCAGTCGGCCGAAAGATGTTCGCCGTCAAGCAGTCTTCACTCTGCACGAGCTTCGGTCCTCCAGAGAGAAGTGCCTTTCCGGGAGCCGCGGGGCCATACTTGGACGCATCAATGATATCTGATGAGCTCGAAACTTTCACTGCTGGTCTGAAACGTCGATCCCCTACAGGAGGAAGGGCATACGGGACTCCCAAGAAGGCGTCGACGGGTTGGGGAAAAGAGTCATTGAGCTGTGTCCCCACCACATTGCCTTGCACCAGGGTCACGAAAGAAGGTTTGGTATCAGCAGTCATGATGTATCAAATTATCACGGTTTATCACGGTTTATCACGGGTTACCACGGTTTAATGGCAACTCAAGGGAAACCAAGACAAAAGTTGGGGGCCGGGGGTAAGATATAGAACCGTGACGGTTGCTATCTTTCCGGCGTTTAAAAGTAGCGCCGAAGTTCTACCGTGCGGGGGAGGCTATCTTGGTGGAGCCGAGGGTAAGATAAGTATGTATAGCGCGAGTATTAGCATGGATATCGCTATCTCTCTCCTCCTCGGGAAGTTCCAAGGTTATATCCTGCGGGGACGGCACTTATCTTGGCGGAGTAAAACCCTAAAGATAACGGGAAAATGTCTTAAAAGGCTTTGAGGGGTATCTGATTCCCTATATGGGGATCATTCCCATCTTGTTTACTACTTACTACTACCCATAGGTTTGTTAACATGAAGATCGACAAGAAAACACCCGTGGACGATATCACCAACGAGAAAGATGTGCAAATTGGCACTTTAACGGATCTCGATGAAGGAGAGGTCTTCCTCCGCCAAAATGGATTCAATCAAGAGGCTATCCAGGCACTTCTCGATGACGAGCCACGCAACAAAACGCTGGTCCGGAAAGTAGATCTTGTTTTGTTGCCTTTACTTTCCGGGACATATATGCTTCAATATATCGACAAATCAGCACTGGCCTACTCTGCGGTGTTTGACCTTCTCTCTTCCACGCATATGTCAAGTGACCAATACAGCTGGCTTGCCAGTATCTTTTATTTTGCATATCTCGTTGCTGAATACCCATGGAATATCCTCGCACAGAAAACAAAGCTTGCCAAAGTTGTTTCTGGAAACATTATTGCCTGGGGAGCGATGCTCATGATTACTGCCGCCTGCTCCTCTTTTACTGGAATGGCTATCTGCCGCTTTCTCCTGGGAGTCTTCGAAGCCCCCATTACACCTTGCTTCATGCTAATGATCGGAATGTGGTACACACGTGCTCAACAACCTTTCCGTGCTGGTGTGTTCTATAGCTGCAACGGACTTGGGGCTATGGTGGGTGGCATTCTCACCTATGGAATTGGACAAATCGACACCATTGCCGTGTGGAGAGCTATCTACCTCATTCTGGGCGGCATTACCCTCGTCTGGGGAGTTGTGATGCTTCTCTTCCTTCCGGATGATGTTATCTCATCCAAGCGTTTCACCCTGGACGAAAAGGCCCTTCTAATTGGCCGCGGTCGACTGGGTCAGACCGGTATCATCAACCACCAAATCAAATGGTATCAGATCCGTGAAGCTTTGATAGACCCACAAGTTTGGATCTTGTTTTTGTTCACTCTTCTGAACGAGGTTGTAAATGGTGGGATCGCGAGCTTCGGCAAATTAATTATCAAGGGGTTGACGGATGACTCGGCCACTGCTGTCGCTTTGGGTATTCCCTTTGGAGGATTCCAGGTCTTCTATGTCCTGGGAGGAACATATCTCGCATCTCGAATCAAAAACTTCCGAACTGTCGTTATGTTAGTTTACTTGATGCCAACTATACTCGGTGCTAGCCTCCTATGGAAGTTGGACCATGAATCGCACAAGGTTGGCGTTTTGTTTGGTTATTATATCATTGGCGCATACGTCTGCTCTTTGGTACTGGCTTTACAGATGCCGGCGACAAACCTGGGTGGTTATACAAAGCGTACAACCAGTGTTGCCTTCGTATTTCTGGCATACTGTGCGGGCAATATCATTGGACCCCACGCGTTTCTGGCAAAAGAAGCGCCCATATATCAGACCGGAGTCAAGCTCATCCTGGCATGCTCGTCTGCGCAAGCTGCTTTGGCTGTTTTGCTGCGTTTTGTGCTGACCCGCAGAAACAAGCAGCGAGATGCCGCGGCTGCTTCTGTGGGACAGATAGAGTCATCTACTGATCAGAGTGCTGGGGCAGATCTCACTGATTTTGAGGTTAGTGACTGTCGTTTATTCCTTTCTGCGGTATCTTTACTAACCAGTTGGCAGAACCCAAACTTCCGATACGTTCTTTGAAATATAGCTTCGAGACCATTGTTTCTAATTATACGCTTTATCGTGTTATAACCACCTCCGTTTTAGTTATCACTAGGCCGTTTCATAGGAATTGCAGCACGACGCTGAGCCATTGTTTTCGAAAGCTGGCGTCTTCGACTTGATAGATCTTATAGCAAGAACATGCAATATAAACGGCAGAGGCATATCAAGTGCGTTGTAGCATACATCCTCCATGATATAACCCGCGGTTGTATGTAAGATTATTGCAGGATTTCTAAGAAGGCGCGACTGCCAAACCTTGCATTTGAGTCCATCTTCTCCTGAAATGAGAATGTTGTTCTCAGTACGGACGACCAAAGTATCGGGCCAGCCCATGCCTGATAGGTGAGATAGGTGAGATAGGTGAGATAGGTGAGATAGGTGAGATAGGTGAGATAGGATATCCGTTATAGTCAAATTACTATGGAACCTCCATGGGAAAAAAAGGGCCAGATGTGTATAGTTACCCCCGTAAGATAAACTTTACATGTAGCCAGCGGCACCGGTGATCAAAGTATTTAAGGACATAGTTGTGTGGTGGTTGATGAAATTTATCTACAGCCTAATTTAAATAGGAAGGCCTCTGATAAACACGGAGATTACCAACCCGATTGATTATTTACATCATTACTCGCCGAGCCATAAGTGCTAACTATGCCCCGGCCCAGGTAACTAGTTACCTAAACCGGAACGATTACCAATCTCCTGTAATTTGTCATCCATATTGATTGGTCCTTATACTATATGCAGGTATCACGCATCACCTGCATATAATGCAAACACAACCAATTCGCTCGGACACAGTGTCAGCCCCAATGAGGGATTTATGATAAAGTTCAAGCAAACTAGGTAGCAAACATAGCAAACATAGCAAACACCCGGATTGATAATACACAGTGAGCTGCGGTTTGGTCATTGAAGCTTATATAAAGAGGCTCATGTCTTCCTAAATATTAGTTTTCTTTTATAAATTCATACAAACTCAAGTATGGCTAGCACATCTCCAGTTATTCTCATTCTTGGATCGGGCCCCAATATCGGGCAGCATGTGGCTCGGGCATTTGCCGAAAAAGGCTACAAAGTTGCCCTTGCATCTAGAAGCCTCAAGGAAGAAGATACCAATGGTGACCACGTCAATATTTCCGCCGATCTGTCCGATCCTCATTCCGTGAAGGACATATTTTCGAAAGTCAAAGGATCCCTTGGTCTGCCGAGTGTTGTTGTTTACAATGGTTAGCATGTTCTTCACGGAAGCCATTTACTGAAAGCCCGCTGACATCCCGGAAGCTGCTGCGACGACTTCAAACAATCCAGAGAACCCTCTCTCTCTTCCATTGGCTGACTTCAATCGAGACTTTCAAATCAACACGACAAGCGCATTTGTCGCTGCACAACAGGCGGCTTTAAGCTTCGAGCAACTCCCTGACCACTGGTCTAAGACATTCATCTACACTGGGAATATACTCAACTCAACCCCTATTGCAAGCCTTCTAGATCTTGGTGTGGGTAAATCCGCAACGGCCCACATCATCCGCTCTGCTGCTGCCGCGTACTCTAATCGAGGCTTCAAGTAAGTGTTCCCTTCTTAGGCTAGACTGGGTTCGAAATTGACATAAGGCAGATTTTATTATGCAGATGAGCGAAAGGCTAATGGAGCTCCTGCATATTCTGAACTCGATGGCGAGGCACATGGGAGATTTTATGCCGAGCTTGCTGAGCACAAGTTCCAGGGTCCTTGGCAACAGACCTTTGTCAAGGGCATAGGATACAAGCACTTCTCAGTTTGATGCTTGTTCTTGAAATAGCTAATGCTTTTTTGAGCTTGCGTCCCTTTTAAACAATTGGATCTCTGTTTTTGTATTTTCATCAAATGTGCTCTGGTTTACACATATTCGGAGAAAGTCCGCTCGAACTCACTTTCACCACTCTACATGTTGTCTCCCGATTTGTTCTCGGAATAACTTTTTGCGTAATTAATTGTGTCCTTATTATAGCTCAACATGTCCCGATCAAGCCTTTGCTAGAGCGGATATGGACTAGTGGATGAAAATCCGGCCCAGGGGCCGACACCGTGGCAATTCCCGTTCCAGGCAGTACTGTATCCCCTATATTTCCATCAGCTGCATCCCAACAACGGAAACAATCACAACATTATAGACTCACTGGAAATGAGAGCATTTATTACTAGGCTTTCGCTTGCCCATCTACTTCCGGCTCGCCCATTTCTTTCTGTGCACTCCAATCCACGCGCTGTTTCGTTCCAAAGCAGATTAGGTCTCCCTAAGTTTCCTCTGCCTTCAACATCACGACGAAGCTTTCATTCCTCGCCTAGTCTGAGAAACGAATGGATTTCATCGGAAGCCATACTGTACGAACTTAAAGATCGAAAAATTGAAAAATGGGGCTGGGTTTTCTACCGGACCACATACAAAGACGACGAAGCCTGGGATGTTTTTAAGCAAAAGGTCGACATTTCAGTGCGCTCAATCATCAACCTCGACCCACGGTCAGAAATCAATGAAGCCATGTTCGACAAACTCAAATTTATCTTCATTGAAGACAAGGCAAAGTTCGATGGAGCTTCCAAGGAGGATCTACGGGCCCACTTCCAAGAATGGGTGGCTGATAGCTTCGCGGCTGAGAACCCACGCGCTGATCAGAAGCTCCTGTATGACAATGAGCCCGTTGCAAGGTACCGATTCTTCTTCGAAATTGACGAGGATGCATTGCGCAGCTGTGGTTCTAAAGGTTCAGGCCATGCCAACTTTGTCGATGGTTTTTCGTCGAGTGAAGACCGCTCTAGAAATCTCAACCTTGCCGCACAAAAGAATCCCGAACAGCCGCAGAATCAAGTGGGGGATATTGAAGGCTGCTCGGATGTTGACTGGATGAGAATGGACATGGCATTTTTTATGGACCCTCATTTCTATGCAGGCATGAGCATGTCGGTAGAGCATATGTGGCATTTCCTTTACGAGCGGCCTCCTGCTATTATACCAAACAGCAAGCTTATGCTTTTGATGCAATTTCAGTATGCGGCTCGTAGGAGGTGAGTCATCCCTAAAGGGCGGCGATTCAGTGGGGGCATCCAAAAATTTGCAACCTAGTACTATATCCACATAATACACCTTCGTCCACAGTCAGAACTCCCTGCTCTAAGTTAGTGGTGTCGAAGACCTACACAGCAATTTTACCACAACTTCCCGAAGCTAGGGCGTCTTCCACAACATACCAAAGGAATAAAAGACCTATATGGGAGGAATATGTGATATCTAATCAAAATGCGTGTTGTTGAGATATTTACCCAAATAAAAATAACGCAGTATCCTTCGCCAGGTATCGATTTTGTATCAAGCAAGGGCCGTGCTATCAATTGGGTAAAATGTTGGCAGTCTCTAGTTACCTTGATGAACAATCACTGTATTACATACTCCATGTAGTGGTCCACGGGTATTCAACCATGATATTTGACAAATAGTACTGCGGTATCTCCATTGCAACACAAGCTTTCGGGGCAAAGTAGAACTCAAATCACCGATACCAGAAGTACTTCTAGTAACCATGCTCTCAGTAGCGGAATCCAGGAAAAAATCAAAGCGGATAATCGATAAAGATTCCGTTAACCTGAGCTTGGTAGCTTTTCTTATTGCTGTTGCTGCCAAAACACCCCTCCTTACGGAGCCGTTGGACGCCCCATAGGAGGCCATTAAAGCCAAATTTGGCAGCGGCGCGGAGATAGAGGTGCAAGTTGATAGGTACTGTTGAACAATATCCCATGTATACATGTTTGCTATAGACTGAGCCCTTTGTTTGTTATTTGCTACTTGCTGGGTTATTTGCTATAGATTGAGCATAGTTTAGATGGTTTGGCAGGGTATATAAACCCCTACATTTCTAGTTTAATTAATTAATGGTTCTTCCTCTGCCCCCCCCAACTGTAGTACTGGTAGTACTGTCCACTACAACAGGTACTTTGGGGGGGAGGGGAGGAGGATGGGCCCATAAGAGTAATTCTCGAGGCTAAGTCAGGCCAAGTTAGGCCAACGTGATTACCATGAGCCCCAAGTCTCTATGTAGGAGACGGCGGAAGCAGTTGCGTTGGTCATGACCCGGGATATGAAACCCAATCGGTAAGACTTGCGATACCATCTAGCCTCAGCTATATTATACAGTGCTAATACTAAGTTGTATATAGGCGTATTTTTGTCATATCCTAAGATGGTATTGACCTATAATATATATAGGGGATTGATAGAGGGACCCCCCTTGGCTAATGGGACCCCCCCTGCCGGACTTTTCAGGTATCAACACTACCGCCTTCCTAATCCGGTGCGACCAGTATTTCTGCCATACTTTCTGCCAGGTGCAGAGTTTTCTGCCATTTATTCTGCCACCACCATATAATTCTGGTTTACATAGTAAAAAAACATGTATTTTGATCAGAAAAAATCGTACATTTCTGCATAATGAAGTATTGAAACTCTACAAATTGCTTATTTTCTCACTTAGGCACCCTCCACCGCGTGTCCCCGTCCCCGTCCCCGTCCCCGTCTACGTCCACGTCCCCGTCCACGTCCTCCAGTCTCGGTGTTACCACTGCCAGTTTCACTACTGTTTGTTCCACGCCCACGTCCCCTTCCCCGCGGCCGTCCTCGTCCTCGTCCTCGGCTCTCCTCCTATAACGAAGGATCGCGGTATATAGAACGATCCTATAGAAGAGGATTAGGAGAAGACTGTAATTGCTAGCTAGCCTAGGTACTAGTCTAGGTGCTTAGAAGGTTTCTAGCACCCCGAGGGCGCCTACGTCGACGTACTAGAAGGGGATCCTATATAAGAAGTAATAGATCGATAGGTAGAGCGTTGTTAATACTATATAAATACTAGTATTAGTGGTAAAGCTCTAGTTCAAGAGATCTTTCTTCCTATTCATACTACTAGAGTATATATATATATAGGAATCCGGCGGTTTCTTTCGAATTATAAATATATAAAGGAGGAATTTAGGGCTTATCGTCTCTTAAGGGTAGATACCGTCCGTAAACCTCCTTTATAAGTTAAATTACCTATATTAAGATTCGGGTATAAAGCAGCTTATAAAGACGTAGAATCTATATTAATCTCTATATCTTCTAGTTCTTAATTTTATATTAGACCTTTATAAATTGATAGTTAACCAACCGGGTAAAACTAGTAAGGACTATAAGTAAGTTATTATTCGAAACCTAGAGACCTTACTTAAGAAGCCAATACGCGCTCTCTATATAGGATATAGCAATCTTATTAAGATAGAGATATTATAATATATAGTAATAAAGGAATCGTTCTAGGCAATCGTCTATCTATTCTTACTATATATAGTCTAGTAATAGGGTAAAAAGGGGGTTAGCGTATCGCTCTTTAAAATTGCTCTATTAATAATCCTTTTCCTCTATTATAGTTGCGTATATAATATAGTTCTATCTTCGAAGCATCTTTTTCTATCCCTCCTCGGCTTTTTTATAGTCTTCCTAGGCTTCAGTAGTAGTAAGACGTTAATAGGGGTCCTCTCTAAGGGCTACTCGGCGGTCTCGATAGGCTTTTACAACTTAATCAGCGAGAAGGGAGCGGGCTTTCTTTAAGATATTTATATTGATATACTAAATATAAATCATATTCTTTATCTCCGGGAAAACAGTCTCAATTACATTTATTAAGGCTCTCTCTTTATCAATAAGGATTATACGTAGGGGTATAAGACAGAGAGATTCGTAAGCTTCAGCAAGATAGGTAAGTATTACCTAATAACCAACGAGATATTAGTTTTAGGTATATTAAGATTATAGATTAGATATATACTTACCTCGTATATATTATCCTTTTCATCTCGTATAAAGGCAAAGCCAATATAGAACGTTATTCTAGTAGCAGCAAAACCGATAATATCAAGCAATAGAAGACTATAACAGTTAGTCTTATATATACAATCTATAGAGATCACCTAGGGATTTATTCGAAGCATTATAACACTTATTTTATATATATAAAATAAGCTAGATACATAAGACTCGTTATCTAGCTCGTATTTAAAAATCTAGCTACTATCCTTAGGGAGTTCTATCAACAATACCTAAAGGGGGGTACGGCTAGCTAGGAATTCCTAGTTTAGCTTCTAACGAGTATTATAGATATCCTAGGGAATAAGGATAGTATTAGGATTAGCTTTACGAAGCTCAGTTATAATTTAATATATTATACGGCCTTACTAGACCGCGTTATCAATCTCTTCCTTTTTCTTATTTAGCTCGAGAGCCCGCTAACTAGGATAGGTTAATACCGGCGAGTAGGGGTGATTATATATAGGATCCTTAAGTATAAGATACTAAAGGTTAGTCTATAGGTCTAGGCGAAGCGCTATTTTAAAGGGACACTCCTATATACGGGTACTTATCTTCCGTTTCTTTAACAGTAGAGGATTCGATAGTAGAGGATTCGATAGTAGAGGATTCGATAGTAGAGGATTCGATAGTAAAGGATTCGATAGTAGCTTACGGCTACGGTCATAAATTAGCCGAATTGTCTTCTTAACTCCCTTCTTTATGAATTTTAAGCGGCGAGTTGTCACTATATAGCTATACGGGCGCGCAAAGCTATTTACAGCCTCGACCCCTTCCTCGGATATAGGAAATTGCTAGGGTAGCGGGGGAAGCGGGAATATAAATATCTCTATGATTAGCTCGGTAATTGGCTCGGTAGGTAGAGACTTAGGGATGATCTCCGGCTCGGAATCGGAGGAAAGCAGGTATTCAAGGCCTAGGGAGGCCATATTAACAATGAAAATAGATGAAATTAGAGGGATTTAGATGAAAATAAAGGTCGAAAATAGGGTAGAAGAAGGTAGGTTAATATATGTAAACCAGAATTAGAGTATCAATTTGTTTGATCCTATCTCTATATATGTACAGAGTACTATGTGACAAAAGTAACTTAATTTTGTTAGGGGTTTTCATATAAATTGCAGGTACCTACTGTGTCACTACAATTGTATGGAGACTTTGTCACGAAGGCGGTGTGGAGCGCGGTAGACTAGAGCAGTGTCGAAGCAAAAGCGGTACCCAATTAGGAAGGTGCACCTTATTTTTCAGGCAGGGGGGTCCCATTAGCCAAGGGGGGGTCCCTCTATCAATCCCCTATATATATCACAACTGCCATTTTCAACAAAACATACCTCAGTTGGATCAAGAACAAGCGGGCCGAGCGACAGCTTCCTCCAGATGAACCAACACGGCCCCTGGGTGCTAACCAATGCCGACAAAATGGAGGAATTTGCAGGAATTGTGCTAGCTATTATGCTAGCAGTCGACTCTTTGCTTCCAGAGATCCCCTCAGGATCTCTCTCTCTCTCTCTCTTCCCCATCTTTGCTTTTTTAGTTGGAATACACTCTTTCTTCATTAATAAGAAATCCTGCCGGATAGATCACGTTATATTAATTTTTCGGCGTGCCAGGCGCAAGCAATTTATAGTTTATGTATCTTTTGTATGACTTACCTATACAAAAGGTACTTAGGTTACTGTACGTTTCCTCTGTCGGGTGGGGCTTTCCTATCTTAGCTGCCGCCGCTTTTATGAGGGCGCTCAGAGTCAGGCTCACTCATCATCGTTAGCTTCATCCTTCATCGGCCCCTCCATCGATGCCATTATCAGCACCTCTCGACGACGCGCCACCTGGCCAGGTCACACGCAAATACCTACCTAGGTACCTAATTACCAATATTACTAACTAGTTTCCGATCCCTGGGGATACACCTTCGCAAACTCGAGCCAAACAAACGCCGAGCTGGGATTTCTCCCAGGGAGCATATATACAGATGCCAATTCGTAAAAAGTGCAGAACCAGCCCATTCCTGCAATAACTCGTAAACCCATAAATCCAAACCCTAACTCTAACAGAAGCGACACTAGGATTTTAATGGAGCTACTGAGGACCAGCGCGCGCGCGCGCGAGAGAGAGAGAGAGAGAGAGAGAGAGAGAGAGAGAAGAAAGGTTGATTCCTACAAACATGCAGAGAGAGAGAGCTACTTATGTGGGGTGTGTAGGGGTGACAGCCTAACAAGTCTGGTCAATTAGGTGTCCATCACAACAGATTTCCATCCGATGCCCTCACGTAGAATCCAGCATTGTCTGAAATATGCCGTCTTGCCCACGTAACTCTTCTGGTGTGCCCACCTGCACAGCACGACCTTCATCCAGTACGACAACAAGATCCAAGTCCAAAATGGATTGGATATCATGCATCACAACTATCACCGTCCGTTCCCGAAAATTGTCCGAAATGACCCGTCGGACCACCTTCGTCGTTTCCACCGTCAGATGGCTCGTCGGCTCATCTAGGACAACAACAGAGCCCGTACGAAGGAGGGCACGCGCGCAGGCAAATAGCTGACTCTGTCCTGCGGATAAGCTCTGGCTTTGGTCGTCAAGCACGGCGGCTAGCCCTCCACGTTCATCGATCGCATCCCACAGCTGCACAGTCTGCAGAGCATCAATGAGTTGGATGTCATCGTCGCACGGATCCTGCTGTTCCTGCTGACGCCCCAGCAGAAGATTTTCACGCACAGTCAGCCCGGGGACAATGTAGCTTTCTTGGGCAATGCCAATGAGCGCAGCGCGTAGGGTATCCGGATGCAGATTGGCAAGGTTCAGCCCATCGATTGCCACGGTGCCGTCTGTGACAGACACCATGCCGAATAGCGTCGCTAAGAGTGTGCTCTTCCCACTACCCGTGCGGCCGCAAATGCCAAGTTTGGTGCCAGGCGGGATTGTAAGAGAAATGTCTTGCAGAGCTGCAGGGCCGTCGGCCGTATACCTAGCAGTCAAACGCGTGAACTCGATGCGTCCCTGTGTGGGCCAGAACGATTGAGTCTGGGGTAGATTAGTAAGGGCGTCCTTGGAAGCCTCCGACTGGGCAGTCATAGCATGATGGTTAAAAGCCTCCAGCCGACTGACAGATCCCAGGGAAATTTCCATGACTGCCCATTGAAGTACCAGGAGTTGTAGACTCTCGCTTAACGAAATCACATTTACAAGGGCAAGGCCGATCAATGCTGAGCGTGTGCGTAGCGCGATCGCAATGCCCACCACTAGGACCGCCAACGCCGCAGCAATCATGTCCAGTACTAGCGTAAGCCAACGTTGCAGCATAAAGCGCTGGTAGTATGGTCGCTGCGATGCGCTAAGGTGGCTTTGGTATGCTGCTTGTGTCCGATGCTGCCAGCCAAATGCACGAATCGTCTGAAGGCCGTCAATGGTTTCTAAAAAGTGATTTCAGCGCTCAGTTAGATGTGGATTGGGTGTAGAAAGTCGTGAGAGAGCTTTGGCATACAGGAGGGGAGATTTGGCTTCAATATCCATTGAACGTAGTTGCCGTGATGTGCGAAGATAGAACCGCTGGATAGCAATGACGGTGGCGAATATGAATGGGAAGGCGATGAGGAGATAAGGGGAGGCACTAGAGAAGGTGAGTGGATGTTGATACTATTATAGCGCAAGTCGCAGCCCGTACCTGGAAATGATTAATACCTGTGCTAGTGTCCCCAATGCACCTGGATCAGTCAGTTATTTGCTGCACATATGGACCTAGCATTCAGCATACCCTCGGACGCGTTGAGAAATGTTAAGGGCAGTGTCCAGTCAACTAACTGTAAATCCTGACTGAAACTACTCTGCATGTTAGTTTTGATTAAGCCAATGGATTTGTAAATAGACGGTGATGGTGAAAATGCTACGAGCGGTAGCGAAGGGAGTCTATCTGTCTCTTGTCCCCAGCCATATATTCGGGGATAGGAAGGAGACACAAAAGAACAAATCTTACCGGTTTGCAATGGACCCTGTGCTCATTATGCTGAAAGACGGAAAGGGGAGACTGTTCAAATGTTGCCATTAGCTCAAATTTTGAAAATAATGTGGCGTATATATTCTTACGACATCACCGCGCTCAAGAGACGGGTATGGAAATAGCGACTCGTATGGGGCATAGTAACTCGAAACTGGTGGCTAAATGTTTTGTTAGACATGATCCTCAGTATACAGTTGTTAAATGTACTCACAAGGCAGCAAACAACGTAAAACCCAAACCCAGAGCTTGGAAGACACTGTATATCTCGATATACCTTGCATATAGCCGTCCCATCGTTTGCGGATTATCATCGAGCCACCACTGAAGCCAGACAGCTAGATATTTATGAGTTATTCAGTCTCATATTTGGGGAATAGGACCAAACGAACTGGGAAATTTGGAGAAGAAGGTCTGAAGAGTGAGTAATGCACCCAGAATCAACCCCTTGAAGAGACCCATCGATTTAAAATACGATCTATAAGGTGGTGCTTTTGCTGAAGAAAATTCAAGATCGTTGCCCTTGAATTGCGGCGATAGCTCTTTTGATGCGACAGGCTCCAATGGGGGGATGTCCTCTAATTTAGGTTCGAATTTCTCTTCCTCGAGAGCACTCAGACCATCAGGAAACAGATGTGACATTTGTTGCACTGGTCTCTGCGTTTTTAATGCTCCATTGTCATCGAGAATGATCAAAAAGTCGGCATAGGGCACCAAGCGGTCTATAGTTCACATATTGTTAATCAAGAGACCGTAGCACCAAGACTAGACGTACCTGTGTTTGAAGTTATAACCACAGTCTGGTCATTACTTCTCATCAAACCATTTGGCCCCAGGAGACGTCGAACGACGGTTTGCTCGGTTCGAGCATCAAGAGCACAGAAACTATCATCCAGCATGATAACCTTTTGCTGAGAATATGCGGCCCTTGCTAGAGACTATTTGCATCGAGAATGTGAGCCCTTCATTCTTGGTAGAGCCATGTTGTCAATAATTGCACATACGATTCTCTGCTTCTGTCCTCCACTCAGTGTAGCGCCACTACTTCCAACATTGGTAAGATCATGCTCCGGCATACACCCGAGGTCATGTTCCAATTCACAAGCCCAAACCGTTTCATCGTATAATCCCTTTTGATAAGCTTCGAGGTGGCCGGCAATATTGGCTCGGATGGATTGATTCCCGATCCACGGCGTTTGATCACAGTAAGCACAACAATCAAAGCCTCTGGTGGAGACCCCTTGAGAAATATTCAATTCACCAAGTATTGCCTTCACTAAAGCCGACTTTCCACTACCGGTCGGCCCCATCACCAAAGTCACCTTGGACCACGGGATATTGATAGTCAAGTTCTGGAGAGCAGGGAAAGCAGAACCTGGGTAAGAAAAGCTTGCGTTGTGAGATGTGAATGCAAAGGAAGGCTTTGAATTGCTTTGGTATTCCACCAAGGGAATACTTAAAGCAATTGGTTGTTTTCCTGGACCCATTGTGGGCTGTGCCTCGGATTCTCTGTCCACAATGACTTTCCGATCCACCATATTTGGCTGTTTGAGGAAATTCTCCACCCGATTTAGACAGCTAAAGGCTGCGATGATAGCAGGTATTTGTTGAAAGACAGCCGCAAGAGGCGACGTGACAAGGCCAATCAGCGAAATAGCTGTAAATATTCTGGCAGTACTAGAAGTGTCCCAAACATTATGTTGAGTGGCGGCATAGATCACCAAGGTAATAACAGGGGATATAGCGGATGGAGCATATGCTTATGCAAATCGTCAAATAAGTACTCTGTAAGCGTGCCCAGGTGGATGGAGCTCATACTCACCTAAGCCCATGACCCATACAAGTAATCCTCGATAACTCTTGGCAGAATCTAGCTCGGCATCTCGAAACTTGAAGATCATATCGAAAATATGTCTACCTAATCCGGACATCTGAATGATCTTCATGTTCGATAACATTGATGTGGTTGCATCTATGACGATACGCAGGACAAGATTAGAGATGCCAGGTTGAGATTAACTGCCTCGATCATAGACTTACTTAGACGTGTCTGGACACTTTCTAGCCATCCCTTCTGGTAGATTCCAATGGGCTGGGATATCTTGTAGGTGGCCACCGCACAAACAATCGCGACAATGATAGGAGCTATACAAGCCACTCCTACCTGCTGCTCCAGGAGCCAGGTCCCGATCCCAATTTGAAGTAAACTTGAGTATAGTTCGTGCAGCTGATCTAGCCCCGTACAAGCCATTTCAATATCTGTGCTGACAAGTGATATGGATGTCTTTTTCGCATCCATCGGATGGATTGAAAGTGTTTTCTGAAAGACAGCAGACAGGAGGATACCCCGCAGCAGGGTGATGAATTGCAGCTGAAAGCGCCAGTAGGTACCAGTCGCAATCGCCAGACCGGTGTAAATAATGCCGTAGGCACCCAATATACCATAGCCGAGATCTTCTGCCGATGTGTCTTCTAGCCACCGAAGAAGTTTGAGCATTATAATTGGTTGAAGTAAGGTGAATGTCAAAACAAACAATCGCGGAATAACCGGACAGAGCAGCCTGTGCCAGAAGGATTTAAGGATCGTCCTCACCAGACTGTGTCGATGTGCTTTCTCTTTTTCAAAGATCTGCGTGAATTGTGACTCGATGTTCATAACGGTACAGCTTTTCGGCAACTGGTTAAGATCACTCAGTGTGAGGACATTCTTGAAGCCCGTCCAAAGGAAAGGAAGGAGCCAATAAAAGAGACCATTGCTGAATATCCCACCAGTTTCTTCCGGCGACCGAGTTTTATCCTCCGCGTTGATGAAGTATTTTGCCTTTTTTGAAGATTCGACAGTCAACAAAGCCAGCTTTACGGCGAGACTCGACGACGAAACAATTTTAAGTACAAGTTTTTCAGAATTGAGTAGCCAGACGGTCCGAAGAGATGTTGCATCAAGCAGGACCGACGTAGAGAGGTAGGTCAGCAGGAGACTAGATGGACAAATGGTTTTGGTGTGCTCCAGGTGAGAGAGCACGCAGATCAAAAGTACATCTGCCACAGAAAGTAATAAAGAGGCAATTGAACTCGGCCGGCTGTTACTTCCCAGTCTAATGGATAATACAAGCAGATACAGCTGCAAGATGCCCAGAATCGCCCCAAGTGACTAGTTGGATTTTAGCATGCGTAGTTTATTGTGCAATGCTGGCCGAGAGACTTACCTGCTTGGCCCAGCGAAGCGACATCACTGAGACTCTATATCTTGCATGATGGAGATGAAAAATGCGAGCAGCAGCACATAAAATAAATATTGATGAGGGTAGAATGGAGAAGATGCTTTGCTCGAATTCGACGGTAAAGTCAAAGTTGCGGCACTGGGCCTTGACGCGAGGTCCAAACTGGTCATCCGCCGATAGGCAATCACTATTATTCAGGACAGTGAAGGGCTCCATTGTAGTCATTCTGTCCTCTGAAACTATTAACAAGCTAGGCTGGGGGAAAAGGGGTGAATGGTAAGCAATTTATTTGAAGTTCACGTGCTTTGAACACGCTAACCGGGATCCTGACTACATAATAAGCCATCTGGATAAATATCGTGTCAATTCAATCACAAATCTGCCCGTTATCTTCCATTCGGGTTCAAGGATGAACCAATCATTGGTGCTATCTGCTAAAGACCTGAAGATCCCTGCAAAGTAGCTTCCTATCCACACCCTCTTTGTTATACTAACTTAGCGTCGGGGCTACCAGGGGTTAGTTTGTGTCAGATGGAGTGCAGGCTACGCAGGAATGAATGTTAATTCCAGGGGAATTGTATTGTAGACTCTGGAGAGGAAAAGAAAGGAAGAGAGAAACTGGCTACGGTCTAAACTACGAGTCCTGTCAAATGGGATCACACGCAGCCCCACATGGATGTCACGTGATCTCCAACAGTTTGCCCGCTAAACAAACATTCCCCGCCCATCAGACAGGACGGGACAGGGCGGAAAATCATTTCAACTCTTGCTGTCAGAAAATATTGAAATTTAAAGGGATATAAGCGGCAGTCTACAACCAACTGATTGTTTCCAGGAGTGGAAGCTGCGAATAAAGAGGAGAATATAATCAACGAGTCCCCAACTTCTGTCCTGGGTTTCCTCCGCGATTTCACTGGCCTTGGACGGTCAACCAGGACATGCGTGACGATGACTTGCGCGCCGCAGACGCACTGATTATCGTCGGAGTATCCAATGTTCTTGCGGTATGCGGATAACCGATAAGTTATGACTCTGGTGGAGGCTTGTAGCGGTTCTGGCGTACAAATCGTCGAATTTGGGTATAGGGGCGAAAGACTAATCGAACCATCTGATAACTGGTTCCTGCCGAAGTTTCCCTCAGGATAGAAGTAACGCGAATTCGGGTTTATGAGGTAAAGTGAATGATTAGTTAGAGGCCTTAGAGGCCTCGGGGTACCTATTCTCAAACTTTAAATATGTAAGAAGCCCTTGTTGCTTGATTGAACGTGGGCATTAGAATGATGCGTTACTGATGGAGGTTCCAAGAGTAGAGATTCAGATGGTGAAACAGTATGTGTCGATTTTTGTGGAGCAGAATGGATGGAGAGAGAGAGGAGAGAGGAAAAGAGAAGAGAAGCTAACTGACTAACTACTCCATGTGGATCTGTCTTATGTGGGGATACGGCCAAAGGTCAAATGCCTGATTTCTCAGACTTGAAGCCTCAATGTGCCTGAATTATAGACCGCTTTTGACACCGCTCTATACTGTACTGTAAATTGAATCTATTCATTCCCATCCGGACCGCACAAAATACCTCCTTAGATTTGGTCGGCTGCGACACCTTCAACGCCGATAAATGTGTGCATACGGAGATTTGTATAGTAGGAATAGCTTTAGTACAGAGATTTGGTCGGTCGCAACAGCTTCAATGCCGATAAGTAGGTGCATACGGAGATTATATATCGGGAATAGCTTCATTCTGTTGAAAGTATTGTCACCCTAGATTCTGCCGGTTAAGTATCCACCAATAAAAACTAATGACTAATTGCCGGTATGTCTAATTAAGAAGGCGGAAGGGGATATTTACACCTGGGCAAGATACTTTGCTTATTAAGCTCACTGTTATAGTAATTTAGGTATTGTGATTTCTGCCAGTCTAGAATAAGGCAGCATTCAGGCATATTCAGGCACGTTAATGTATTAAGGCTGAAAAATCAGGCATTTCACCTTTAGCTGCCCCTTGGCTGGCTGCCTTAAGCAGAATAAGGCACCGGACAGTTATCCAGAGTCTCAGGCAAATTTTCTCTCATCATCCCGGTGGATTTCTCACAGCGACAACATCTAATCACGATGACCCACGAATTCGAGTAGGTACACCGCCTGCAGATCTAGAATATACTTACAATAATAATTTCAGATGTCCATATGCTGTCGGCAATGTGATCAGGATTCACGTGAAGACACCAGATGGATTAGAGGCAACAGCAGATGCCAATATCATTAAAGTCTTCGAGCCGTTCACTCTTTCCTCTGTGATGCTTATTCGGATGGCCTGCTCCTCTCTAAGATTGGAAGGCGACATGATTTTGAAGCTCTTTGATCGGCGAGTTGCAACGCAGCTTCGGGAAGACGAAAAGATTCGGCCCTGGACCCCGGACATAGAGACAGAGTACCATCAATTTATCATTGATGGCGGTGCATCGGAGTTTATTGCCCAGCTCAACAACGAAGGCGAAACACCTGAAGGCAGTACATGGAATGCGGCTATGGACGAAACTTATCTTTATGATCATATGTCGGATCTATACGAGACAGAGGTCCAGGTATACAGCAGCCTGAACGAGATTCAAGGCACCGATATACCAAAACTCCTTGCATCTGCTATTATGCCTATTCCCTACCCAGGGCAAACGAGCAGCGAATATACCGATATTTCTGGGATCCTTTTGCAATATATCGAAGGCTTCCCATTGACCGATATTGAGGAATATATACCAAGAGAAAGCTGGCAGGCAATCTGTGAAGACGCTATTCGAGTTATTAATCGTGTCGGTGATCTGGGAATACTTAATGAGGATGTTAAAACAAGGAGCTTTATTGTGCGTGAGGGGGCCGGGAATGGATTCAAAGTGACCATGATCGATTTTGCGCTATGCAAATTCCGTGAAGACTATAAAGATGCCTATGACTGGGATAAATGGAAATCGATACAGGACGAAGAGGGGGCAGTGGGGTATGTCATGCAAAGGCGTTTAAAAGGTGGATTTTCTTACCGTCGATCTGATCGATACGAAAAGCTAGATGAGGAATTCAGAATGGGTGAATGAGTTGAGACTGTAGGGAAAATAGAAATCAATATCAGCCCGAGGAATATAGCGTCTGTATGTAACGTTCAACCTGACCTGGAGTCGAAACCTCGACCTTCGCTAGTATAGAGTATTCTAAGGTTGCAGTATATGCTTTATTTAGACACGGTATTTTGTTGTCTAATATGAGGGATTGTTTATTCTCGGTTTGCTTGATCAAGGATTTTCTGGTATACAGCCTTCATGCATTGCAAAGTTCCTCGATCTTCATTCCGAAAACAGTCCCCGGATCCAATTGTCCCGATGTATCAGGCGTGGCGTCCATCGCTCTTTTTAATCCCGATTTGATATCCCCCCATTCGCTTTCCCGTATGAGCAGATCTAGTGCGGTTCTAACCAAGAACTGCGTTCGATTAATATCCTCGTATGAAAACAACGCGTGGTCGTACTCTATTCGGAGGAGAAGTTCCTCCGCTGAAATTGCTGAGAATTCAAACATGAGCTTGAATTTTGAGCCCTGAGCCCAGGTATATAGTGGTTGGGTCCCATCGAGGGGGAGCTCCAAGGAATTCTGATGGCCGTGGAAGGACACCATCACATCGAATAGTGGATGGTTTGGAAACTCAGCTGTGCTGTCAAAGTGGCGCCATAGCTGTGTCCAGGGCACAGCATGAGCCAGCACCGCTTGGCTCGACCGTTGAACGCCCTCTAGGAATGATTTTGTTGACATTGCCATTGTTTCGCTCGGGGACTGTACCCGCACCCCCAGGGGTTCGAGAAACAACCCGACGGTTTCCATATCGCTCACGGATGGCCGATTTAGATGCGGAGCACCCAGAAGAACGTCAACGGTATCTGAGTCTGGCTGAAGAGCTAGTGCCACTGCGGCTAGGGATAATTGATGGGGTGTGATACTGTTCCGGTTTGTGAAATTGCTCATATTCCGGCCCATTCCCGGTGGCATGAGCGCAATGTAACTAGTACCGTGGTAGTTGACTCGATTCAATGGAAATTTTGGCAGGAGGGGAAACTCAGGTGGCGGAATATCAGCAAGGTATTCGGCCCAAAATTCCATGTCTTCCTCGGACCCGACCTGAGACCAGACATCGGAGTCGATATAGGATCGATCTATCGGTAATGCAGGATTCCCCTCACAGATGCTTGTCACTTCATTCAGGAGTAGCTGCATTGTGGTGAGATCACAGACGGTATGAGTTGCGGTAATCACAGTAATATCGGGCGATGATAGAACTCGAACCGGATATTCCATATCCAGGCGGAAAGGTCGATTCACTTCCTTCCAGAGGTTCAGAGACCGGACGAGCTGCACTTGAGGACGATGTTCAAAGGTCTTCCGGTGGAAGCATCCTGGTAGGCCCTGGACGTACCGCGAGCGCAAGATTTCATGTCGCGCCAAAACCTGATCCCAGGCCTTGATCAACTGCATCCGCCTTTTGGGGGTCCTTACCTCGAAGGCCAACGACACAGTGAACGCTGAGGTGCCGCAATCCAGAACGTATTTGGTAAGCCATTCCGTCTCCATGGGAGAAAGCTGGCGACAGCTGATTGTGTTCTTCATCTTTTTCCTGGCAAGGCCATTTTCTTCCACCTTGCCCGGCTTCCTATTAACGGATAACTTCTCGACTTCAAGTGCCAGATCACGTAAAGTACCCGCTTCGATAACCAATCGAGGGGAGACAGCGAGGCCGAAGACACTACTCAATCGGCTGGCTAAGCGCAGCTGTAGGATAGAATGTCCGCCCAATTCGATGAAGCCGGACTCTGACGAGATCCTGACCAGGCTGGGGATCTCCAAGAGTTCAGCCCAGATGCAGGCAATCTTGTACTCACAGGTTGTCAATTTCTCTGAGGTAGGAGTTCTGGCGCCAGCGACCATCGCCAGAATCTGTCGATAATCGCGCTTGCCCACCGCAGTAAGTGGGAATTGATCAACCGCAAGGATGTACTTTGGGATCGCGTGAACTGGAAGAATTCCGGCCAGTTGAGGCCGGATTGCAGTTATGCAGAGACTGCTGGGCTGCAACATAGTGACGAGATGATCGTTCTGGCGTACGACCGCCGCCGCAGTCACTCCGGGCAATCTCGCGATGCGGGTTTCGAGGTCGTCAAGATCTAGACGGAACCCGCGCAGCTTGATCTGTCGGTCGTTTCGGCCCAGACAGACCAGATCGCCCGCCTGGTTCCAGTATCCCAGATCCCCAGTCGCATACATGCGCTCTCGTAGGCCAGCACAAATCTTGTCCTCGAAGAATCGCTCGCGCGTTGCATCTGGTCTGTTGAGATAGCCATTGGACACTTGGACCCCAGCTAGGTAAATCTCTCCAATCACACCGGGCAGAACCATCTGCCGCTTGCTGTTGAGGATATAGATTCGCGTCGTCGGATTGGGACGCCCTATGGTTGGTGGCTTCTTAGACACAAGTCTAGTTATAGTCGCCCCACAAGTGGCTTCGGTTGGACCGTACATGTTGTATAGTTGTTTGGATGCTGCCCACGAATCGTTGACGTGTTGGGGTACCGGCTCACCTACTAAATACACCTTGATATGTTGAGTTAGCAGCATGTAGCAGGGGGAAGTCGAATAAGACACTCACATTAGTGAGTGCTGGAAAGTCGGAAGGCCTAAGGACCTTGGCGACAGATGGAGTCAAAATCGCCGAGTCCACCCGCTTTACATGGTCAAAAGGCCCCGTGGAATCAGGAAGTACCAGTGTAGCACCATAACTGAGAGCCGAGAAGAGCTCATGAATGGATCCGTCAAATGATACCGACATGAGCTGGGCAATCCTCTTACCAGGCCCGGCGAACAATCGCACTTCCCGGTCTCGCTGGAAGGCAACGAGACCGCGGTGAGTGCATATGACGCCTTTTGGCTTTCCCGTGGAACCTGAAGTAAAGCACAGGTATGCTGCTGCTGCAGGAGTCGGATTGGCGCGCGGCACCCTCCATGATGATTCAATGGCATCGTGAGTGAATTCTGTTGAGGTAAGAATCTCTTCTACCGGGATAAGCGCTTCGCAGGTGGGAGGTTTGGCAACAGCATCAAACACGTCCGGGACGATAAAGAACCGACTGGTGGATGATTCAAAAATCGAGGACCGTAGTTCAGGTGTTAGGTTCTGGTTCAAAGGGCAGTAAATCCCATTCGCCTTTAGAATTGCGTAGATCGCCACGATCCAGTTCATAGATTGGTCGGCATGCACACATATAATCTCTCCCTCACAGACATGGATGGTGTCTTTGAGATAACAGGCCAGCCGGCTACTTTTCTCATCGAGTTCCCGATAAGACATCGAATATCCGGTGCGCTCTATTGCCATTGTGGCCGGATCATTTGTCACTGCACGTTCAAACAAGGTGACCAGATCGTCGTCGATCGACGTTTCGGTCGTCAGCCCAGAACAGCAATTCCCATAGTCCATTAGACGTTGGCGGAATGATGTTCCCATGAGGTCCTCTCGACACATTTGAACTGTGTATGAAGGCCGACAGAGAGCTCTTAGGGATTTAGCATATTGGTGTCCCAGAAGTTCTACTTGTTCAACACTGAAGTGAGTGCTAAGGTAATGCATGTGAAGCTCCCCATCGGGTGCCACCATGATACTCAACGGAATGTCGCTATTGATCAGGGTCCGGGTCGTTTGATTTGGGTAGCCGACGAAGTCATCCCTCATGGCGGTCTCATATTGCATTGCCACGGCCGAGGAGAATTCACGGCGGTAGCCGTGTTCTGGTGTCGTCCAGTGAAAGGAGGCCAGTTCGAGTAGCTGGGAGAAAACTTTCTTTAAAAGTTTGGAGCTCATAATCTGATCCTCCAGTGAGACATGTAATGGCAGCGTGTTAACCAGCGGTCCCACGGTTTCGAGAACGCCCGGAATATCCAAGTTACGTCCTGAGATGACTGTGCCAAATACCACCGTGTCTGAATCGCTGAACTGAGACAGGACCAGTGCCCACGCTGCCATGTAGATTGATGCAGGTGTCACTGCGAGCTCTTTGGCGTAAGACTGTAACCGAGACTGTGATATATCGGGTGTGATGCTGTGAAGAAGCGAACGAGTCTTCTCGGATGTCTCGCTCGGCGGAGGTAAGAGGATTTCCCCTGAAGCAGCGGGGAAACGGGCTGTCTGTTCCTCCCAAAACTCGCGCCCCTCTGCTTTTAATGTTTGTTGTAATTGTCGAAGCTGAGTTGATAGTAATGCGAACGAGGGGCCGGGTTGGGCCAAGTGCCCTCGACCGACGTTTTCGACCCGGTCCAACAGAATTTGCATCGAAAATCCGTCCACCAGAGCGTGGTGGACAGACCACATGACACATGCTACTGTGGGTTGGGAGTTGGGAAGTTGTTGAATGACTACCTTGAAGCGAAAGCTGACCTCAGTCATCGTGGGTAGTTCCTCGAGGATAGCCTGGTACTCTTCTTCGGAATTGGCGATAACCTCCTCCCACTCAAAGGTAGGTCTTTCAATCTCGACGAGATAGCCAATCCCATTCTTGAGTTCGAATCTGGTGCGGAAAATTGGCTCCGCCTCCAGCACATTCTTCCAGGCCTGCTTGAGAACGGATATTCGCTCTGGAGCACATGGTTGTTGATGTCGAATGATATTCGTTCCCGGACGCGCTTCACTTCCATTGATGAAAGTCAGTTGCATGTCGGTGACAGGATATCGATTCGGTCGTTGTATTTGTTGCGAATCTCTGGGGTTGAAACCAATGTATGCGGTTGATTTATTGTTGATCAAATCATCCGTCGGCTGTAAGGAGGCTGCGTCGACAATGTCGGCCACTGAAAAGGCCCTTAGGATATCTTGGACGGCGAGGAGAATACCCGACTGTTTGCAGGCTTGAGAGAGGCTGACTGCATCTAATGAGTTTCCACCCTGAGCCACAAAGCTGCAGTTATGGTTGAGCTCCGTAATAGGAATATGTAGCAAACCCGAGATTAGTTGCAGCACAACCGTCTGTGGGGGTATCATGCTGGCGACTTTCTTAATATGTTCCCTTTGAGGTTCTTCTGTGTCAGAAAATATCACTTTGATTCCACGATACGAAAGAGGGATGCTTTACATATTATATATTATAGTAGGAAGTCAGAATAGGGTCAATGTCGCCACTATCCACAAAACAGAGCACCTGGGTAAATCCTTAGAGTAACACAGCCGGGTAGTCGGCGACCGAATAGGTTCAAGCCGATTTTGGTGGCCGACCCTGTGTCCATGTGGCTATGTTTCAGATCTTGTCGTAGAGATATCGGTGCTTATATTCAGCCCCACTGCAAACGTGGTAATTATCGCATGTTATCGGTGCGGAATACTGATGCACGTACTCACAGTGGCTAACGAAATAATATGTGATCAACTAATGATATTTGCTGAAGATAATCAAAGTATCTCCATAAAGCTCTCTAAGTCCATAGAGACAAGGGGACAAATGAATGAAGGGAGGAAATTTCAAAAGAATCTCAAAGGGACAAAGAGAGGTATTAAAAGCTGCATCTAGGCAATACATCAGATGCGAACCACATATCTAGCTTAGCCAATAAGTCCTTTACAACTCAACATAGAATTGACAATGAGAAATACCCTTGGATACCTTGCTCCTACCAAATATAAAGCCAATATATTTGCAAGTATTCGATATAGCAGGGTTCAGGATTATTAAAGGATCGTTGGATAAGCCATAAGGGGACAAGACAACAAAAGGATGCAAAGTCGGGTCCTGTTACTGAACTACATCAATTACACATGTAGATAATCTCATACAAATATCTGACTGATTGATTGAACAGTATTAGTTGAAAAGGAAAACAGGCAAAAGCAGAAACCATCTCACTCTGTGTTGGCCATCACCATCAAATTATCTTTCGAAGAGTGCTGCCGGCTGTGATAGATCGTTTCGGTTCAAGAACCACAGCTCTCCGGCTATATAAATAAGAGTCTTAGCGCCCGTCTCGTCTTATTTTAATATATTCATTATCCTATGTATAATCGCAATGAATATTTAAGTAACAAAAATACAACTGCAACAATCCTGCGTGACATTCCCGATTTCACTCTCATCCCGCAATAGATGTAAATCACTAATAATAACCCCCTTGGGGTCTAGGTAACAGACATGTATCTTGTTCGCTACGGAGCATCCAGACGATCTTCCACCTTCCACAAGCGAATCTTCTCCACCGCTGTAATTGCCGCACCCTTAGCCAACTGTGCATAGTTGGTTTCGATGGCATTTGCCTCGGGACTGCCTGGGATCACTCCCTCCACTCGTAGCTCGTACATAGCTGTCAGGAACAATGTCAACTCCCCTTCCCCAGGGGCCCCACCGTAAGACAACAACATCGTGCTCTTAGCACCGGTATCCGTGGTTGTTGCCTCAACCTGCGACAATCGGTTAGTCAGAAGTTTCGGCGGCCCGCAACCCACGGAGGAAAACGTCAATGACGGGAGAGGGAGGCACTAGTACGAACATGGAGTCCCTCTGCAATACGAACATCCTGGTGCAGAACTGTCCCCCGCGTACTGTGCACAGCTCCATCGGCCAGCGTTAAACTCCGTTTGAACTCGGTGGCCGTTTGGTCCGCGTGTACTTCAGTGCTAGCGACATAGTCGGCGAAATCGTGCGGATTGCGGCCGCCGCGACGTAACCCCTTCCAGAATTCCCCATAAGTAAGAGTTGGAGTCATCCCCTCGCCATTCACGGGAACTGTGTAGGCCACATTGAAAGCAAATGTTGATTCAGCCATCGTTGCCGCTGAGAAAATAATGGAAGGAATTGATGTGGATTCGGAAACAAATTGATCCTCAAGCATGAACAACTGAAGACATAAGGGTCATAAATACCTCTAGATCCCCACGTTCTCTGTCGGTCATTCTTCCGAGGGAATGAATATGTATACCATTCGGTACTAATGCGGTGTCCGGAACGGCCCGTTGTTTCTATAGCCCCACATGTACCCACATCCGGTGCCTCCAGGGCTCGTATTTTCCGATGATATGACCCCTGACCACCGATTTTTCATTGCCTAATTTCGGACACCAAAGTTGAATACATAGTCGGATATCCTATTGTAATATCGGGGTTGGAGATGAGGCCAGTGGGACTACTTGTAAATGTAGGAGTGCAATAGTCTTGGCATTCTAGGTTATGTAATGTTCTTTTTTTTTGCGATTTTGTTTAAAACCGGCAGAGTCCAAACTCAAAGGGCGGAAGCTATGGTTAAGCCAATAGAATGATAGAATAGTAGAGGTCTCGCGGGCGGTAAACCTAAAAACTGTACAGACAAGGGGCGTTAAGCCTATTAGGCAGCCTTGCCGCTCTTTACTATGGGAGTAGGGAAGGAGGATTCAAGCAGTGTACGTACGTAGTTACTGTCAGGGACCTACAGTCTGATCTGGGAGCTGATGGAGATTTAAAAAAAAGGTGGGGGATTTCACTGCAACTACTTTAAAATATATATAACTCCCGGACGATACTCGGACGTTCTGGTTGTTGTAACAATTTTTCAGCGAAGTGGTTAAATGCTCATATGGACTCACTCAGGTTTACCTAGGTAGGAGCAGCCTCAAATCCTGTCTGGATTATACAGGTTGACAAATACACAAGACAAGTTTCGAAAATCAATGGTGTGCATGCTTTTGTGGATTTAAACTGGGTTACGAGATGTTCAGAGTACGTGTTCGAAAAAAGGATGTTTACAGCTTGATAGTAAGATATGTATCCATTCGAGTCACACCATTATAAGCCTAGGGCGCTGTGTACGTAGAGGCAGCTGCGACAACGTGCCTACCACTTGCCCATGGGCTGTCCATACGCTTGTCCACACGGGAGGTCGATAACTGTCGTCAAGGTCTAGCTGTAAGTGGAATACACCACCCAATCTATACTCGTGATTTCAAAACGACTTCGGCCGTCGCATCCGACAGAATCGCGAGTCCGTAATGCTGCTGCTTCGGCCTCGGCTGTCCTTCTGGCAGTTTGATGTCGTAGTTGCGGAGAATGTGCGCCACTACTACTTTCATCTGGCTACTGGCGAAGAAGCGTCCTGGGCAGGCCCAAACGCCATGTCCAAAGTTGATATTGTCGGTTCCAGTTGTGACATGTTGATACTTGAATTCGCTCCCGGGAGCCTCGCGCAGCCGGGAGAATCGAAATGCATCGAACCGCGTGGGATCCGGGTATAATTCAGGGTCCATGTTGAGTGTGTGGGCGCGCACCATGATTCGCGTCCCTTGGGGTAGATACTGGCCGGTTGGTAGGCGGAGTCCATCGGGGTGGGTGACGACTCTGGGCATGTTGGCTGTTGTTCTGGTTAGTATGTAATAGATGAGAGATCATAACTAGGCATTCTATAAGGGTGGAGGCTAACAGACCTAGCGATGGCGGACTATGGCGTTGAGATTCTCGCACAAAACTGTCTAGCTTCTTCAGTCGCTGCAGGTGGTCTTTGTCGATAGTCTTTTGGTCACCAAGAACCTCGTCTAACTCCCGTCGCAGCGGTTCGATGCATTCCGGGTAACTCGCAAGGTCGAAAATCAAATAGGTCAATGCGTTGGAGAGGTTGTAAATAGACGCAAAGGTCGCCAGGAGCTGATCTCTCGCCAGCTCACGTGCAGATGGTTTGGTGTCATATCGCGCTTGAAACCATCGAATCATGTCGCCTCCTGCGGTGTCTGAAGACTCGCCTTTATCGTCGCCTCGTGCTATTTCCTCTAGCAGCGGGGCCATCTTTCTCGATGTCATCTCGCGCATACGCATGAGTGCTTTAACCTGTGGTAGAAATGGAGCCACAAATGGTCGGACAAACCGGTTTAATGTGCGCAAGTGCAGCCAGGCCTGGGTAACATTACCCGTGTAGTTGACTGTAGCCTCGACCCATTCCTCGTCGTGACTCAGAGGCACCCCGACAAAGGCGCGACCCGACATCAAGGAGGCGACCCGACACATGGCTGCACGGGGCTTTAATGGTGTCCAGTTCCAACAAGAACCAACATTCTCGTCGATTGCGTGTTGGACCTCTGCATTGAAGGAGGCTAGAACCGTGGGTGTGTTGCGAGTGAGGTCGTGGCGCATGGCGGCATCGAACTCTTCCGTTTTCGTACCCATGTAGGTATATTCACCGAGAAAGACATCGTGATGGTGCTTCCTGACGTTGTAGATTGTTATTACTCTCCTCTTAATCAAACGCCCTTTTGAATACTATTATTTCTTACTTGATGGAGACATGTGTCTCAGGGAGCGACTTTATGAGATCGATGCTGGATCGGGGCAGGATGACCATCTCCATCCCCACCAGCGAAAGCACAAAGGGCGAATCGGGATACTGAGCTACCTCATTAGCAATTTTAGGATATCTGTTATGGTTCAGTCACAGACGCACCTTTTTATGGGCTTCTTCAATGGTTTTGACCACTTCATTTTGGACTTCAAATATAGGGAGATCGAGTTTGGCCGGATGACTTCGCTGCACTAACGAGACTGCAAGATAAATGGAGACTGAGAAGACAAGGAAGAGCCCAACATGAGCTGGGCGCACCCAGGACAGCTCTGATTCCAATAGTAGTTCTGACATTGTCATGTTGATGATGTATACGGAACGACTGGTTACAAGTGACTTGGGACTTTTTGTTCCTCACTTCTGATTTTCAACATTGCCGCTCCCTGCCTACATATTTAGGCTGAGTGGGCACTGGTCTATAATTGTTTGTTTTCGATCTTTCGTGCGGTGTTCTATATCGGCCCGTTATCGGGTTATTATAAGTTTTTGTCGAATACCAAGTCCGAATACATCGTATTGTCAACATTGGTCATCTATATCACCTGGGCATACATTGTTCGTACACCAGCTTTCTGTCAGCTTTTAATAGAGGTCCAATAGGGATGCGAACGTTGTCTGATATAACACGTCGCAATTTATCGTAGGTTATACCTAGGTATAGATGCTCCTTGGGATATCCTCTTATTAATGAAACTTCGAGTAAATATATATATATTGACTCCCATCACAGGTCTTCGGGGAGCTTTTTTGAAACATATTGATGAAAGTAGACAGGTAAAAATCCTTCAAATCTTAACCATTTTTCTTTTAACGTATAAAGGGCTCCTCCACGAGAGTCAAATACCATATTTATCAATAATTCGTATACAATCAGAAAGATCTGGTCGATCATGGAATAGATTAACAAAATGCAAAATGCATAGAAACACTGTAGTGGGCACTGGGGTCTGATAGGGACTTTCCATATAGAGCCCCCGGTATTAGCTATTGCAATAATACAAGATTGGAGAATTTCCGTGAAGAATACTGTTAGGGCCAATACATATGTAATTTGACAATTTGAACAATTCATAGCTTGTGGATTTAGCCCACCTCCAAGGATTTGTCCTAAATAACAAAATGCCATAGGCCATACGGTAAATAATTCAATGTCCATATGTCGGCGCTGCTTTCAAGACCTCTTGAACTGCTGGCCGTGCTAGCATTCGGTCACTCCACGCCTCGACGTGAGGCCAGTCTTGTATTTTCACTCCCATAAACGTAAACATCCACGGCATGGCGAACGGAAGATACGACAAGTCGGCTAATGTCGGGCGATCTGGGAGTGCAATGTAGTTCTGCTCGGGAAGCGAAAGTCTCTTCTCGAGGATATTATACTGCTGGAGACAATTGCTATGCAATCTGCGTGATGCACAGGATTAGTCAGAGTACTTGCTTGCCGGAGCCTTCCCACCCCTTTTGCAGTTGCGATGATACTTACTTTTCAATAGCCCGGGGCAACTGGACGGGTTCTTTGCGATTGGGATATCCCCGGAGGAAATACAGCCAGTACTTTGCTGTTGCTCTGTGTGAGTTGTTAGAGTCCATCCATCTGATAACAATGTGGTATATCATGGGTGGATATTACCCTAACCCGGCCGTCTGGTAGGCTGTCCAGGACAAAACCTGCCCCTTTTCCCATGCTGTTTGTCCAATCCACTGTCCGTCTGAGTCAAATCGGTCGGCGAGATATTGGACGCAGGCTGTCCCTTCAAATACAACCACATCCTGCTCAGTCTTCGGGTCACGGTCTTTGAGTGCGGGCACATATCGCTCGGGGTGGATCTGGTAGTACCATTGCGATTTGGTGTCGATCACGGAAAGCACGTGGGGAATCACCAGCTCCTTTGCCAAAATGATCGGCTTGATGTAGTTGATGTATGATGTCTCGTCGGCTGCATAGCATTAGATCGGAATAAATGAGGAATGGGAAACGGTTATTGTGGCCTACCTTTGATGATGTACAGAATGACTCGCCCATCGTATTCAAGGTCCCCATGGACGATCTCCTCGTTGTTCTGTGCCATAATTGGTCTTCGTAGGTCTAGATAGCGTATGTGGATTCTCTAGTCTCTCATATTGCCGTTTAAGAGTCGATCCATGGTTAAATAGTCGGGAAACACAGAGAGATCGTGGAGCAGACCGAAAGAACCCGTGAGCAGGCCGCATGAAAAAGGACTAGTGCTCCCCTCGGTGGTGGATGCCACTTCTTAGCAGCTAGAATTATCCCATCCGGGGGTCAAGATGGCTGCGAAAATAGTGCCTCGAGTGCAGAGGTGCTACGGAAGCATGAAGACGGCTGGCTGAAAGCTTTCGGCCCGGTAACATATGTGAGGAAACCGAAGGGGGGAGTGATGGCTCGCGAGGTGGATGGACACCAAGACATGACGCGCTCACACCGGAGACAATAGAGAGTATCGAAAGAACTAGTGAGATAGAACAGCTAACTCGTGGGGCGATTGTTGGGATCAGTATCACATGACCCTGTTTGTCGGGACTGCCAGATAAGTCTCCTCTCTCTCTTCTTCTTCTTTCCTCCTTCATCATCATCAACATTATCAGCAGTTAGCATACAATACACTTGCATTGCTGATCACCCTCCTCCTTGGGTCCCCAATACTTATTCCTGTGATAATCGATCTAATTATTAGATTCTACAGAGTAGATGAGATTATGAATACATACAAAAGTAATGTATTGTGGTGGTGTATATAAACATTTGAAGGTAATGGAGGAAAGGAGAGTACTAGACTACTAACTACTAACTAACTATGGAAGGTATGACATGAGAGATCTCAACACCAATAAATATGCCCAGTAGTTGACAATTGATCTTGAACCCTATTAAAATAAAATCATCTTTTTCATTCTATATATGATACCTATTTCAATTTAATATATTTGTTGTACAGTGGCCATAGGCCTTTACTCTAGTGCCTTAGGCACCAACCCTTTAAGTACTAGGTCGGCATATAGTACCTTTCTCCCTCCACTCTTTCTAGGCCTAACTTTGTATGGCATATGGATAGCCATATAAACCTAGTCAATTTCAGCACTAAGATTTAGGGAGCAATTGATGGATACACTCGTTTTGTCCCATAGTTACCTAATTAGTTTTGTATAGTAAGGGTGGATCTAAATTACTGCAATTCAATATAAACCAATGAGAGAGTTCTGCCCATACTTAGTCACCCGTAGACATATTCGGACACTTAGTTAACTAGTTAGTGGTGTGATGAGAGCTAGACCCCTGCTCCTCTCGTATGGTTTGTAATTTGATGTGGATCACTCGGAGTCCGTTCTTAGTCCCGGAATGTCCCCAAACGGCCCGTAGATGAGATGCCACCGAAGTCTCCACTTTTAGTTCTTTGTTTTACCATTGCGTTCAAAGAAATGGCAATTTTGAATATACAAAAGAAGGCCCCTCAAGTGTCATAGCTTTTACATTAATTTTCAAATTTTCCATCACAATCACAAATCAACCATGACCATCTTCGACGCCCTCATCATTGGTGGAGGCCCGGCCGGGCTATCGGTCGCCACCGGCCTCGCGCGTCAACTGCATCGAGCTGTCGTATTCGATTCTGGGGTCTATCGCAACGCCCTTACGACCCATATGCATAACGTCGCTACGTGGGATCATAAGTCGCCGGAAGAGTTTCGCCAGGCCGCCAGAGAGCGCATTTTGTCGCGTTACGACACGATCCAATTTGAGAATATCGAGATCAAGAAGGTCGCACGGAATACCGAAGGAGGCTTTAATGCTATCGACTCCCGAGATCGGGTATGGATGGGGAAGAAGTTGGTGTTCGCCAATGGAGTTCGCGATATTTTCCTAGACATCCCGGGATATGGAGATTGCTGGGCACTAGGAATGTAAGCATCCCGTTTCATTTCATTTCCGTTTCTTTTTGGTTTACTATTGCTATAGCTTACCCTATACGGTATAATAGATTCCACTGTCTCTTCTGCCATGGATTTGAAGAACGAGGCTGCGAATCTGCCGGCGTACTCGCTATCGGCGATCTAGCAAACAGTATGCCGGCGATGCACGTCGCACGTATGGCCCGGCGGTTCGCCACAACCGTCACTATCTATACACACGGCGCGCAAGAGCTCACTCAGGCGCTCGAGAAGGCGAGCAGTGATTCAGGTATCAAGGTGGATAGTAGGCCTATCGCGCGCCTAGTCAAGGGACCGGGTGCATCGGACGTAGAGGTAGGATTTGAGGATGGTACCCAGAGGATGGAGGGATTCCTGGTGAGAATACCCCTACCCCTAACTGCAATTAAGCGTGCTGAATACTGACTACCTACCTACCTATAGGCCCACAAACCCAAGACGGAAATCAATGGCCCGTTCGCCGAACAACTAGGATTGCACCTCACGTCTGATGGCGATATCAAGACAACAGAGCCGTTCTATAGTACCTCCGTCCCGGGCGTGTTTGCGGCGGGTGACTGCGCCGGGCCTATGAAGGCAGTCGTAATGGCCATGTCGTCGGGGACGTTAGTGGCGGGAGGATTAGCTGGACAGTTGCAAGCGGAGTTGTACTCGCCAGAGCCGAAAGTGACAGAGGATTCTTGAGATCTGTTGGAGATACGATCTAGGATGTAAATAGACTTTGCAGCATGCAAGGGTCACGAAGCCCGATTTTATCACAACATTTCCTTCCTGCAATGGTCACCCCCATAATATGCCACCCTCCTTGTTAGTTTGTTCAGTTGGACTTCTAACCTTGGAAGTAATTTATGGCTTAGGTAACGTAATATAACATGCACTTAGATGGATGTCTTCGATTTATTGCTCTTCCAAGTTTCACATAATTCGGACACTGAAAATCTGTAATCATCGCAAGGCTCTTGTTATATCAGTATGGATGGATGGGATCCCATGACTCGTGTCAATCAAGTGCGAAAGCAGTTTGTCGGCCATCGAACTCTAGCAAAACTCCCAAACAATCATTAAACCCTTATTTGCGTTTGAAATTATAGAAATTCTAGAAATTCTAGCCAATTCCATATTTTGCAATATTTTGGGGCTCGGTATATTGCATCATTTGGTCATTGACTATTCTGTATACCTACGATGCCTAGAGTTTGAGCACCATATCGTGGCTAGGATTCCTCCAATCCCCTCTGCAACCGTCGTAAGCCCTGTTGGAGAATATCCTCTCTCAAGGCAAATGTTAATCGAACCCATCCTTTGTCCCCTTCGGCAGTATGATAGATCTTTCCGGGTCCGACTAGCACTCCAGCCTCTTTCAACCGACAGACCATGGCAGCTTCTTCTTCCCATTTAGTTGCGTTCGGGGCCAGTCGCGCAAATACAAATAGACCGGCCGATGCAGGAATGTATTCAATGCCACGGGTCTTCAAAAACACGGTGAGAATATTGTATAAGCGTCCCAGGCGCTGGGAACTGAGGGTAAGTAACTCCGGCAGCCGAGGCGACGTGAGGAGCGTTTTGGTGATTAGCGAGCTGACCGACGAGAAGTTTAGGCTAGCCGAAATACCCAGGTGGAGAATAAGAGGTTGGTTGTTCTGGGACACAGTGCAGCCCTAACACGCTTGTTAGTGGACTAGTTTCATGTGCGCATATTCTACAACACTGACTAGCCGTAGTCCATTACAGCCAAAATCTTTGCTGATGCTCCATATCATATGCACCCGCGATGGATCCCCGCCCAACGCCGCCACATCTAAAGATAAGATCGATGTGAATGGAATCGGACCACGAGAAAAGTCGGTACTGGAAAAGGAAGAGAGGGCGTAGACCTCGTCCGAAATGAGATGGAGATTGTGACGGGCGCAAAATACGACACATGCCTCGAGGACTTCCTTAGGATAACATTGCCCCAATGGATTGTGGGGGTTGGTGAGTACGACAGCTCGAACTGTTTGGGAAGTGCTTTTATATGCGTTGTCTAACGCTGAGATCAACTCTGCCGTGAATTGGTCCTCCAAGCGGGGAAGAGAGACCGTAATCGGAGTGACCTGAGCTCGGATATTGAAGTGGAAGTCGAATCCGTCTGCCAGATTTAGTATCAAGCTCCCACTTTTGATTTCATCTTTTGATTTTCTGCGTTCCATCGGGTAATACTCACTCCAATATGGACCGGGTACCAAGACTGCATCTCCCGGTTCACAGATACTATACATCAGATCGTTGAGGCACGCCGACGCTCCCGCTGCGACTGCCACATGCGAGGATGCAAGCTTTTTGTTAGGCCGGAAATACGCATCGAAGAAGGTGGCCAGAACTTCCAAGAGCTCAGGATCACCCAGCGGGCTCTTGGGGTATGCCAGATGATCCGTCGCAAAGCTAGATTGTACGCCGTTTTTGCAGATTGAAAGTATTTCATCGGCAAGCACCGAATTCTCACCGACAGACATGTCGATTGGACTAGAGGCCGATTCATTGCAATCCTTGTCTAATTTGGGGAAATTGAATGCGGGCAGGAGTTGGGCAATCGTCGATCCGGCATGGGTGGAAAGTCCGGACGAAGGGTTCATGTTGCTAAAGATAAGATACGATTGAAGGTATTGACGAAAGGAAATTGTTGGTAGGTACAATTGCGACGAGGATGGAATGCTTCCATACTACTACAATATTACTACGCAGTTTTAGGTGATTCTAGACCGACCAACACTAACTGACTGACCGAGATACGGTCCGATGAGATGCAATCCGAACCACACCTCGAAGGGGAAATTGATGAAAATCACGGAGAAGAGAAAATTCATATTTGGTCTGGTTGTATTGCTTATTTCTTTCTCGCTCGCCTCCTAATCGGACCGCTATTGAGTGCCGGAGATACATCTAACCGGCGGGGGCTCCGTGTCGTGCGTATTGAAGAGGTTTCTACAGGTACGAATCAAAACCTTGTAATGTTGAGAAAGGCGCACTTGATATATAATCTTTTTGTGTCAATATGAGGCAAGAAAAGTTACCAGTCATCAACTATCCTATATTGCCTATCCTTGAAAATGGCAGACACGGTCTGGTACTTCGGCTATGGATCCAACATGAAATCGTCTGTTATGATCAACCGCGGAATCACTCCTCTTTCTATCAAAGTCGGTGTGGTGCCAACACACTTCCTCACATTTGACATTTTCGGAATCCCTTATACGGAGCCTTCATTCGCTAGTATCGCCCTACTTCCTTCGAAATCAGAGACGGGTGAGGTCGCAAAAGTTAATACACCCTCGACAGCAGATACATCGCCAATACCCCCCGTCCATGGAGTGCTGTATCAACTCCGGAGGGATGACTATCTCCGACTCATCCTGTCAGAAGGATCTGGGGTTGGATACGATGAAATCACTGTCGAGGCACACGTCCTCAAGACACGATCCGATGGGACTAAGCGGACAAAAGAACAACCTATCATGGCGCAAACATTGAAAGCAAAATATCCCTGGAGGCCCAACTCAGGGCCTAGTCGACGGTATATGGTATGTAATGTGTATTCATCTTGGTATTACGGAAGAGAGCCATCTCCAACATCCGCTGAAGGTATTCGAGCAGTGGTTCCGTGACATTTCTGACAGATAATAATAGGGACTGATCCTTGATGGATGTAAGGAACATAATCTGCCGGTCAGCTATGGGAGATATCTCGAGTCTCTTCCTGTCTACGGAGCCGATTCCGTCAAGAAGTCATGGTTCCAGAAAATGGGGGCATTGCTGTTCCTGTTCTTCTGGCGACGGGTAATCCAAGTGCTCGCACGAATGACGAAGATTGTCGTTGATGATAGTGGGCATTGCCCGTCGTGGATGGGACAAGTCATCGTAATGGTCTATCATTTTATGTGGTTTTGGCATGACCACGTGCATTCGAGGATCTGGGGTATGGGGCATGGTGACCTGATCAATTACGGGGGCCGGGCAGTTTGGTAGTAAGCATAGTAGCATGACGGCGTGTTTCTGTGATGATAGAGGACAGAGGAGACCATTGAATTGACCCATTAATTGGTTTTTCCCGAGAACCCGAATTGATCTGTAGCTTTCAGATGTCGACATCAAATGACCTTGCTCGGACCGCAATGCGGGCCCCGAAGGACCAACCCGTGACTTTATATGAACCCAACAATAACCTCTCGAAAGTTTTCTAGCAGATCAATTCGTATTGTACAACAGGATGAAACCTCAAATGGAAGAATACCTTCAGAGAGCGTACAAGCTCATGGCCAAGAGCCCCCTCATTGGTCCGTAGGTCACTTCCTAGTACGGGATAAGTGCAACACTGACAATGATCAGACGGTCATAACGACTTCCCTTTTATCCTTAGAGGGTTTTGTCAGAACCAACTGGGGCAACAGGGCTTTGATCCGAATCATTTGCCCATCGGACAGACTGACTTTATCCGGTTAAGAGAGGGTCGTGTGGGTGGTCAGTTCTGGAGTGCCTTTATTCCCTGGTTAGAAATTCACTCTGGACAACCCGCCCTTAGTTATCGCTTCAGCTAATAACATGGGGGTTACCCTCTCCCAGTGCAAAACCCGAAGACAATGCTACGGGAAGCGACCTCGTGGTCACCCAGACCCTCCAGCAGATCGACCTCATCCATTCCCTAATCGAGAAGTATCCACGCGTCCTCGGCCTAGCCCGCTCGGCCGATGAAGTATGGCAGGTGTTCCGATCCGGTCGACTAGCTAGCCTGATTGGGGTCGAGGGGCTGCATCAGATCGCTGACAGCGTGAGCGTGTTGAGAATGTATCATCGGCTGGGAGTACGATACATCACGTTGACCCACAACTGCGACAATCGATACGCCACTTCGGTCAGTACCATGTTCCAGACACTGCTCCTCCTTTTCTTCAAGGCCTTATATTCGGTATTTGGTATCGGAAGCTAGTACTCGGCTGATACCTCTGTCCAGAGTTCCACCGCCTCGCAGACGGGCTTGTCAGACGATGGGAAACGCATCATCCAAGAAATGAATCGGATTGGGATGTAGGAGCCCAACTGTATGCCCGCACAGAAATTTCCTAACGTAACTCTCGTATAGGATGGTGGACTTATCTCATACCAATGATGCCACACAACGCGACGTTCTCCATATATCCAAGGCGCCCGTCATTTTCTCGCATTCCTCCTGGTGAGTTAATTTTGCAAGTTGTCCAGATGGAAAGAATCTGCTAACCAGCTAGTGTGGGAGTGACACCGCACCACCGAAATGTCTCAGATGAAGTTCTCGACCTCCTTCAGCAGAACGGTGGGGTGATCATGGTGTGCTTCCTGACTAACCTCGTCGCCCCGACACCAGTCGCAGGGGAAGAAAAGCAAACTGTAACGGTCTCCCATGTCGCGGATCATATCCTCTACGTGGGCAAACGGATTGGATTCGCTCATGTGGGAATTGGGTCCGACTTTGATGGCATGCTCCACGGGCCCCAGGATCTCGACGACGTATCGCAGTATCCGAATCTAGTTGTCGAACTACTCTGCAGAGGGGTAAGCGACGATCAAATTCAAAACATCTTGGGACTCAATGTGCTTCGGGTTCTGCAGGCCGTGGAGGATACTGCCCGACAGATCCGCCTGTGCGAGAGTATCACGATGCAGTGTGATGAAATTGCCGCGATATGGACGCCAGAACAGGAGTCGTGGATACGGCAGGCGGGAGAGAGCCGGGTAGGAAAGAAGGAATGATTGAAAGCGGTATGCCGATCGCGTTTGACTTAAAAGGTACTTGACATGAATCTTGGTCTAGCTAGGTTATGTGATCTGTGTTTTGTTCCCAGTCCCCTTCAATATTTCCAGATCTCTACATAGAATCGTTCTGTTGGTCAGTACTTGCGGAAGTTAGATCATTCAAGCTCACACGAACTTGTTTATGTAGTTAGTTATTTCTATGTCGCCTTGGTGCCACTTTTATTGCTGAGCGTAGCGAAGCATCCAGTATCATATGTGGTCCCAAGCAGAGTCTAGGGCCTAATATATATACCGCTGCAGCGACAATCGGACGTTCCGATTGTCCCTATGATCTTTTGGCCGAGTGGTCAAATGCTCTTATGTAATCTCACAGGTGCAGCGGCCTGAGTTCCCGTCTGGATTACACATAAGGGGGTCGCATGTCACGTGACCTGAATCTACTGAGGGACCCCCAAAAGTTGGGTTGAGGGCGGTGTACATACAAATTTTTTTTAATATCACCTGACCTCGTACTCCGTATAGTTACATAGATTATGTATCCTAACTAACTTAAAATTCAAATTAACTAACGAAATATATTTAAATAATACTACACTAAGAAATACCTAAATACACTGTAAATACCCTTTAAATACAACTAAAATACTACATATATCACCATAAAACCTAGTAAATACTATTATTGCGATGATAAGATTTTCTAAATGCTACATATATATAACTAACTATAAGGGAAATACTACGTTAAGGTATGAAACAACTGGAATTCCAAAAAAATATAATCCTTATAATACCGTATTTACTCGATTGTTATATGTATGTTGTATCTTACCTAGTACCGTAATGCAGCCATTAATCCTAGTTTCTCCCAGATCGGAAGTTACCGCCCTGGCTTTGTCATTCGTTTTCCACCATCGAACTCAGGTTTTCAGTCCGTTGCTCCAACTCCTGAAGCCACTTTTTCAACTTGTCTTGGACAGATCCCCGCCTCTGCGTGATTGCCCTCGACAGGCGACGAATCATCTCGGTATTGAGACGGAGTTCCTTGGATACCACCCGGGTTCGTATGGCCTTCTGTTCCTCAGGATCAATCAAGAACGTCCCAAATCCCACACAAGGCATGGTATATTGGTCATAGGATTTGGATCGGACGATGATTTCGAAGAGACTGAAAATATTCTCTGCTGCGGCCGTCAGGAGCAAAGAGGAAGTGGAGCTCAGCGTTGGTCCGTCGAGCACAATGAGCTCGTTGATCTTGTTGGTTGCCTCCCGATTGGTCGCCAACATTTGGTCCACCGCATGCGGGCCGTCCCGCTGCCGGGCTTCAAGACAAGCTACGAGTTCCACGCAGGCGGCGATACCAGTATTTGCTGTTTTTCTTTCCTGATTATCGCAATGAGAAAATATGCCGCCCGTTTGGTCGCGGACAGGCGCACTGGTCGCACTGATATGACGTGACCACAACGGCGTAGGGTCGGCGGTGCTCTCGGCCGAGCCGGAAAAGTGGAATATGTTTCCACTGTCCGACTGATGATGACTGGCCGTGGAGAACGGCGTGGTCAATTCTTCCGCGGTGCTCGGCCGGCATGGCACTACCGGACACTCGGATGTTTCTGGCGTGGGAAAGGGTGGGAACACATCAAGGACGTCGGACAACGTCTCGATCCGTTCCAATGGATGAGTAGCATCTGGTATTGGTGTTTCATGCCAAGGAAGAAAGGCATTGTCTTCAAAAGAGGAAATGCACCCCCTTCCCGGTGACGGCTCGTTGGTGTCGGCTAGCCAGGGAGTCATAGATTTCGTTGGACTCTCTCGTCGGTCCACTTCGCCGCCGGACATTGGACATCTGGAGTGGATTTGGTTGCGCTTTTTACGTGGTCCGCGCGTCTTGCCGACGAGCGAGACCATATAAACGCATTGATGACCAGACTCTCGACATCGGACACATCCACTCCTTTCGCCAGTGCAGCGAACCTATGAAGAAAACTCTGTTAGGCCCCTATATGTGTGCAGTAAGAGAGCTGGTGAGAAACCGGGGAGACCAACTTTGGCGGCATGACAGGTGTTACAGGCACTCCTCCATCGGACCACTTTCTCCGGTGTAGGACTCTTATCCTTCCTTCCCTCGACACCCGCTACCACGTTGGTACTAGAGAGACAATTAGTTGAAAATATTCATGTTCAATTTGGGTCCATCTAGATGGCTGGCACTTGGAGAATGCGGGGAAGGGAGAGGGTTGCGTTACGTTTTATCTGCTGTGTTCTCAAATGCCATAGTTGACTTAGATGTCGCAATTGCTGACGAGAACAAAGTAACTTAAAGCTTTTTCTAGTTAGCCTCATCGTTGTCACGGTCCGTTAGAATATACCTCCAAGGGAAAAGGAATCGTATCCCTGACACACAACACAATGCACGGATTCAGAGAAAGGGGCTTACGTCAGCACTAGTCCTGCAGATGTCTGATCTTACCATTCTGGCCAGATACATATGTAGGTAGAGCTGAAATAAATTAACGGTTAGTCAATAATCCGGCATCGTCCGTGAATATTTCGTAAAATGTAAAATGCCACGCTAACGAACGCGCTAACCAAAACGCGGGGTTAGGTCTCGTCCTTCCTATCAGCAGCCTCCAGATCAAAGCCAAATCACTCATACTGACTTGCTTAAAGGGTGAAAAATCCCGGTGGCAATTCCTTTCAGGTCTACGGGCACGCCACCGTTGATATTAGGTGTCTTCAAGATCGCCGAATCTCCAAATTAGCCTATCGTCCCTGCGGCGCGCGATCACCGTTTTAAGGCATTGCCCGACGGCATTATATGGGGGCGCAAATTCAGGGCCTCAGAACCTCGACAAGTAGAGCAGAAGAGGGGATTCCCATCAACTTTCTGTCAAAATAAAATTGATCTCCTCGGTTGGCAAATCAGGGCTCACCATGTAGGGTTACATGCATGAGTACCAAGCGTCCAAGACACCTTCCGGGTGTTGGTGCGCCTCGGAGGATGCAATATTTTCACAGGATACAAGATGTAGAAATTAGGTATCTTTTGTATGACTTGCCTATACAAAAAGTACTTAGGCACCCCGTAGACATAACATGCATTTTCTCAGCACTCGAACTAGCTAAAGTAATAGAAGGTATACGAATATATAGTATAAGTCTAGCTTATTTAGTTCAATGGTAGTATATATTCTTAGTATCTAATATAAAAGAAGAATCATTTTAAAATGACACTATATGAAGGCTATGTTGTAGAAATATCTTGATATTGTATATATCAAATTTTGGTTAAATAAAATAGCCTTCCTTTACACGATGTAACTATATCTTCTTATATCTTCCCTAACTAGTTCGAGGGTTGAGAAAAATGTATGTTATTACTAAGTACCTTTTGTATAGGTAATTCATACAAAAGATACCTAATTTCTACATCTTGCATCCTGTAAAAATATTGCATCCTCTGGGGTGTGTTGGGCGAAGCAGGGGTGATGGAAGCCTCGGTGCGAGCCATGCGACTAGAACTAAGCATTGTTGTCTCTGCACATTGAGTCTTTTTATTTACGAGACAGATACGTAAATGTCTATATGTAGTAGAAATTCGGGGTTACATTCGAACGATAGTAGTGTAAAAGTGCTCGTTCTCTGTATCCAGAAAGTCACTTGCCCGTCTTGATATTGTTCGTTGAAGGTTTTTCTTTTCGTTCGAAGCCATTCAAAGCGGTATTCGACTTCCTGTGCTCCTTTTCTTACTATCTCAGTGGCTCGTAGAATTGTCCCAAGTCTCTTGGGGTCTGGATTCAATTGTTTTGGGCATTTCTTCATGAAGCTGGATCGCGTTGGCTGGCACTGCGAATAGCAGTTCGTGTATTGCCATTTTCTCAGAAATAGGACCCAGGAGAGGGATTTCCCACCACTTTTCGGAAAGTAGTACCATGCTTCGCCTTTCTAAATTCATTTTTCCTGTCCACTACGTGAACCAACAAGAATCTGGCGTTCGCCAGGGGTTCGGCTATTTGCGTGTTGAGGCTTGCGTCACCGAGCATCTTCTTGCATCGTTTCACTGAAAGACGCAGTGTCAGCTTGACTTTGAGATTCAATTGGAGGGCCTGGTTGATCAGGCTTTCGTGGCTTTTGGAGGGTTGGTGGCTATCGCTCATTTACATGCGATCGCCCAGTCCCTGGCTCGCCTTCTGCATCTTCCGCAGTACGCTATGTATGGTCATCCAACGGGAGTTCGGCTTTTTGCTTGTGAGCGAGTACACTTTAGGCCACCAGCCTGTCATAGCTGGAGGATTATGTTAATGAATTCTCTTAAATTTCAGCTTTGCGTTAATTCTTAGCCGCTGAATTCTTGGAACTGCATAGTACTCAACGTTGACTTATAATACAGGGCTTTATATGCATTTTTGGGTTTGCTGAGTGTGAAGTACGAGCTGAGGTCATATTCAGGGCTTATTAAGATGTTGATATTCGCAGGTTGGGTCGAGGGAGTGAGGAATATCCCCACCTTCATACCGGCAATTTGCCAGCCCATCAGCCCCATGATCTCCCATTCACGCTGTCATGATCGTTTTTATTACATCATTCACCCCTTAAGGGAATATAGGTACCGTCTGCTACTATCAGGTCCCCTAACCCATTCTCGGGCGAGGAATAAGTCTTCAGTCTTCTTATTTCTAGGTATGGTCTAGTGCAAGCCCTATGATCAACTATAGAATCCAACTAGCTAGAGACTTTTAAAGTCGATTGAACTAGGAAGGAATCCCACGGCGATAGATTTGATTAGGTAATAACAATCTACTCGGGGCCTTGTGGCTTCCTATCGGAGGCCGAAAACAGGCAACTAGTCGGCCCCCGAGACTAGGAAGGGCGTCATCCATTTCCATCAATCGTTAAGAGTATAACGAAATACATATATATATATATATATATATATATATACATACATTTAGAGATTATCACAGCATCCTTTGACCGATTATATCATATTGTCTACTCACGTGCAATCTTCAGGGTTAAAATACAGCAATTTTATTTTTGTATTTCGACAAGATGGAGGAAACCTTGTTGTCATTAAACTCGTACCTTGAGAAGACGGTGGAGCTTCTTGAAAGGCAGGATATCCGTCAACAGCTGGAGGACTCACTCCACAACCATGAGCCAGGAGTTCTGCCCAGTGCAAACGCCGCAGCCTTAGCCAATCAGTCAATTGACCTTCTTCATCAAGTGGAGCAGTTGCTCGAACCGGGCCACCTAGTTCTGGCAGACCACTTCTTCGGTATGGTTATGACCAAATAACAAGAATGTTTGATCTACAATAGGGCATATTTACTGACCATTTTGGAATACCAGGCTATGTGTATGCAAAATGTCTGCTGGGCGCCGTTAACCTCGACATAGCCGACAAGCTAGAGGCGAACGGACCCATGACCATTGAAGACCTCGCTAAAGCCTGTGGTGCTCGCGCGGACCGTCTTCAACAGGTCTTGCGCGTCTTGTGCTGTAATGGCATATTCTCTTATCAAGAATCAACTGGTTACTTCAGCAACAATCATACCTCGACATTGCTGCTGTCCAACCACTGGACACAGTGGCGGGAATGGGTCATTCTTTACGGAACCCAGTTTTACGACATGGCACGTGGGATTCCAGATTCGCTGGTGGAAGGAGTCGATCGCTGGCCCGCTCAGATCAATTTTGACACCAATGACAATATGTTCACCTATTTCCAGAACCAGGGCTGGCTGCCACAACTCCATCGCACCCTTGGCGCTGGGGCCGCCGCTCAGGCACCGGGAATACTTGCCGATTATCCGTGGGAGGAAGTTGCCAATGAGACGGTGATTGACATCGGTGGCGGCGGCGGTGCGCTTGTTGCACTGCTACTTCGGGAGCACAAACAGATGATCGGAGGTGTCTACGACCTTCCCGCGGTGATTGATCATATCAACCCGGATTTCCATTCCCGAGGGGGTCGATTTGCAGACCTAGGACCACGTGTCCCAAAGGAAAATCTCATCGCAGGGGACTTCTTTTCATATATCCCCCCGTCCAAGGTGTACACACTCAAGTGGTGTCTGCATGATTGGAAAGATGAAGAGGCAGTGAAAATCCTTCGGAAAATTCGGGGCGCTATTATTATGAGCCCAGGAAGTAGACTAGTGGTTCTGGAATCGATTCTGGACTATACCCATAGCTCCCGTCTGTCCCGGTATGGAGATATGAATATGATGATTACTGCAAACGGTTTGGAGCGGACTATGGCAGACTGGCATAGACTGGCCAAACAGGCAGGATGGGAGATTTTCAATGTGCATCATCTGAGGAATTCATGGCCATGTGCGATTGATATGAGGCCATTAGTGGGGGATGATGTGTTGCATAGTTCTTTAGCTTGATTGGATATTCCTGGGACTTAGTATTCGAATGAAGAAACTCCTTTATCATTCATACTATATGAGGTTGGGCTTAAGAGCGGGCCTTCTTGTACAACAATCCAGGATTCTCTAGCCTTTCAAACCTAACAAGTATCTCAACAAACGATTTCAATTCTATGGACGGTTAGCTCAGTCAAGATATTGCTAATTTGGACCTTCCAAATCTCTACCAGTGATATCAATCAAGAGCACTACTCCAACCCTGAAGTTAAATATCTTTGTTACAATTTACAATCTAGTAAAGGAATGAAGCATAATGCATAATATGGTGATATTGTAGTGTGTGGAACTATGCAAAAAGGAGGAAAGTAGACGATGCAGTATTATTCTATGGTTATAGCCATGTGATAAATGGGACATACCAACAAGATGATGTGCTACAGGTGGGGGCCGAGTTTCGGATGCCGAAGTCAATGAGGTCCTACTCGGGGCAGTTTCCATTTGCTTGTCAAGATCTCGGGAGTATATGAGAGGAAGCAGAGTTGATCGTACTGATTTCATATTTAAGTGATTGACTGGCGCACGTAAAGTTAGATTTCAATCTTCTCATGTTATGATCGATAAAATGGGGTTTGCAATTATTGTCATCGGGATCGCATTCATCATTTCAATTTTAGCAACCCGCAGTAATTTCTGCAATCGTGTCATCTCATCTGCGGTTCAAGTATGCCATGTCGAACCCACAGCCATATATTGGTACCAAGCTAAATCCCAGATGTGATAGTGGCTCCTCCTCCGAAAATATCCAGTGTGCAATCTAGACCGAGGCACACCTCTTCCTTCATGTCCCTATGTTTGGCCCAACGGTCAAGGCGACATAGGAAAGTTCCTCGATGGCATCGAAAACGGCGAGCAATGGAGGCAGAGATACGGCACTGTTTATCGGATCTGGTCGGGAATGAAGCCTGAAATGTGTGTCGCACATTCCCCATCATTGAGTTGTTCATTCTCTCATATCGCATGGCTAGCTAACCAAAGCAACAGCGTCTTGACAAAGGCTGAACATGTGAAGATTATCTTTAAGGATTCAGACAAACACTACAAAGCCGTGAATAACAACTCGGGGTACCTCATGGGCCAAGTTCTGGGCAAATGCGTCGGACTTGTGAGCGGCCAGGAGTGGAGACACCTGCGAGCCGTGAGTGAGACAGCCTTTTCACACAATAACGTCTCCGGTCATGTCAACCTACTCCAGAACCGAGTTAAAAGCTATATTCGAGACCTCGAGGAAAGGGGAAGCCTACTTGGTGGTCTCATCGACCCGGTTGAAGACCTGAAGATGCTTCCCTTCTTCGCCGTTGCCGATGTGATCTATGGGAAACTCCCTCCAGACATGGAAAGGGGGCTGCGGTATTTAGCCCCCATTCATGAAAGATTGTTTACACATGTCATCCAAGGTGGCCTCAGTCGTTTGGAAATTTCCAGGTTTCTTCCAACAGAGACCAACCGGACACTACGCGAATTCGAAACTAAATGGAAGGCGTTCAATCATATGGCATACCAGCGGGCCTGCGATCTGTCTCTAACCGACACCCCTATCTTCCAGCTCTTTGATGCTCTCCACGAGGGTACTGTCAGTTACAAGCATGTGCAACACACTCTGGATGAGATGTTATACGCCAACCTCGACGTGACAATGGGGGGCCTATCATGGAACCTTGTCTTTCTGGCATCTGACCAACAAGTACAGAGACAACTACGGGAGGAGATCAAGAAAGCACGACAAGATAAAACCGAACATCAATATCTCCTCAGTACGACCTCTTTTCTTTCTGCCTGCATTTCCGAGTCATCGCGTCTGAAGCCCCTAGCCGCCTTCTCCGTGCCGCAATCTGCTCCTACTGAGCGAATAATCGACGGTTATGTTATTACGGCAGGGACAAACTTCGTAGTTGACACATACTCACTCAACATCCAGAATGAGTTCTGGGGCCCTGACGCACAGGAATATCGACCGAGTCGATTCCAGGAGGTAAATAGCATCGAGGCCCGCTACAATTTCTGGCGATTCGGTTTTGGACCACGACAATGCATGGGGCGGTATGTGGCAGACTTGGTTATTCGAGCCTTACTCGTGGAGTTGGTCGTGAAATGGGAGTTACATCTACCCAAGGAGTTGGTGGGTAAGAAATGGGGACGTGACAAAAAGACGTGGATAACGCATCCGCAGATGAAGCTGATCTGCCTCCCTATTCTAACGGACGACAATAAGGGGATGTGAATTTGTAGAACTGATTATGTTGTGCCTTATTGCGTCAAATATATGTTTTTATAATGCAGTCAGTATGCTGAACGATCTAAATAAATCCACCTACACTGAAAATCATTATAGTACCAGAGGCCAGTCTAGCATTCGAAAAACATTCTAGCAAGATATCTCGTTTTATTTAGTCCGTTTATTCATTTTTCGTTTCATTTTTCGTGATTTCATTAGTTGAGGCGGATAGAAAGGAAATTGAATCAAATGCGACGAAAAGGTGTCGGCTTACACGGGACTCAGACAAGTCAGAAAAGGTCATATAGTCAATTTGGTAAAGGCAATATTAAAATCTATCTAATAGCTCAAAGGGAATTAGGCAACCTATTTATAAACGTAGACAAAGGGAAGGGTTGGCCATCCGGGCCGTGGTTTTGATTTCTCCAGATAAACAGCCGTCCAAGGCATTGTCTGTTGGTCACAAGATGTCGATCACCACTCTGACTGCGAGAAATGGTCAAGTCCAAGAGAAAGGAATACATTAAAACAATCAAACAGTGGACTTCTCATCACCTTCTGAGTCCAATGGGGTTTGAGATTTCTCATCAGGGTTACCCCACGACTGCGTTCCCGGTATCAATTTCTCCCACTTAGCCAGCAGAGCCAGTAGAGCGCTCACAGCCAGCAAGGCTGTCGCCACAGCAAACGCACCCTTGATTCCATCCATGTACGCTGTCAGAATTCCTGGCAGTGCATTTGCCGGGAAGATCTTCCTCAGCTCGGAGGCACCAGCCGAAAGGACAAGCGACGGGGAGATTTCAGGCGCGGTCTCCTGAATCCTACGCAGAAGGGTATTTCCAAACACAGATTGAGCAGCGGAAACAGAAAATGAGCCGCCAAGGAGTTGGAAAAACAGCGTCATGGCGGAAACAGTGCTCATGTCGACCATATCCACGCATGCAGTGTTTGCCATGATAGGAATTTGCGAAATAAATCCTGTCGACGCACCGGCCAAAATCTGAAATCCGACCCACTTGCCAGTCGATGTGTCTTGCTCAATGGTGTATATTAATCCTCCTCCTACAGCGCTGAGAGCTGCGCCGACTGTCATGAATGGAACCCATCTTTGGGTGGCACTGATAACAACGCCAGAAATCATGGAGAAGATCCCGCCAATGAGGAATGGAAGGTTGCGTACACCGGACCCAATAGGAGATGCGTTGCGGATAGATTGGAAGTAGAGCGGCAGATAATAGATCAGAATGAAAAATCCGCCAGAGTTGAAGAAGACGACAGCGCAGTTGACAAGGATCCTGCGGCGTTTGAACAGACGTGGCACGACGGAGGCGCGCTCTCCAAGCCACCATTCGTTAGCACCAAAGGCGATGAAAATCAGAATGAAGCCAATTAAAGTGCCTATCACGCTGCTGTCGGACCAGCTCTTCTGTAAACCACCCCACTGTAACGCCAGAAGGTAACAGACAACGGCCCCGATGATGAAAAGACAGCCACTTGGATCTAGCTGGAAGAACTTTTCCCTCCAGGGGGCTTCAACTGGCTTTGCTGTCTTAGGGGTTTGAAAGAAGACGACGATAATGAAGGCGGCCAGACCCCCAATAGGTAGGTTGAGGTAGAAACACCAGCGCCAGGTGACCTTCTCAGTGAACGCTCCTCCCACCAATGGCCCGACAAACGATGCTAGGGCGTAAGTGGCTCCCATAACACCCATAAATCTCGGTTGGCGCTCCGGTACGACAGTATACCCAATAATGACAAAGGTACCCGTGCATAGACCTGCAGCCCCGATACCAGCAATTGCACGGCCGACAATCAAGGCAACACTGTTAGGGGCCACAGCACAAATAAGACTTCCCACCTCGAAGATGAAGAGGGACACAAGATATGCCCATTTCAGGTTAAAGTACTTGAACGCTTTGCCCCAGGTCGTCTGGAAGGCCGCAAATGTCAAGAACGTGGCCGAACCGTACCAACCAATGTCATCGAGACTGTGAAATTCATTGGTGATGTAAGGAATAGCGGTGGCCAGGATTGTTGAGTCGAGGTTGGCAGTGAACATGCCCATGAACAGAGCAAACATAGTAAGAGCCAGCCGACCGGGGCCAGGCAGGTCTGAAGAGGCGCCGTCTGCCATTGCTGATGGTAGTGATACTTTCTGGTTGTGTTGCAGTAAAAAATGATTATTGTTAGCTATACTCAACAAAAGGTATATAAGCACTGCCAAGAAGATGAAAAAAAAATACAGATTTCCCTGAGTTTAAGATATAGTAGGTTTGACCAATCGGCCTTCCCGGGCCTTTGCTACCTGCCTTACCAAACTTGAATGGTGCTCGGTCCCTTGAGTTTGCTGAATAATAAGCTGCTGGATACCACTAGTATCGGCCCGTTGCTTCGGTCCGTTGAGTTAAGCCAATCTTTGTCTGCAGTCTCCGTATTTTGCCCCCACCTGACCCACCACGCCGGCATTCCGGGTGGATCATGATCTAGCCTTCTTTTTGCTTTCTAAGCGGTTGTTTTAAGGCGATTAATCATTCCCCTGGCGATCACATATAATTTGGATCATCTAAATACTTCGCTGTAGGGCCACATTACCTTCTCACTCATGCTCACCTGGCGATATTGCACAGCTGCACTGGTGGTCATATTCGCTTTCCTTCTTCGATATCGAACTACACTCATAGACATCTTCGACCTACCTAGCACAATGGGGGAGACGCTCGCCGACAAAAACCAAGCATATTGGAAGTAAGTCGTGACCCATGGAGAGACGAGACCTATGGGGATCAGAGCTGATTGCTGACTGTGACTAGTAATGCCTCCCAAAATGTGTTTAAAGACAAATGGGTACACGATCTGCAGAATCAGATTTCTGAATTTCTCACGGGAAATCTGGACTGGATAGGCGTCCAGCCTCCCACTGTCGATAACAGCCGGCAGACGAAATTGATGGATTATGCCTGCGGAAATGGCATTGTCTCTCGCGTGAGTTATTGACCTTAGTTAACGATTAGAACATACGATACCCACCCATATCACGCAATACTGACTTCTTCCCGTTCTGCAGTCCCTCCACCCTCAGTTTTCTAAATGCATTGGCGTCGACCTATCAAATGGCATGTTGGACAAATATCGTGCAACCGCAGTGGATCTAGGCCTCGACGAGTCGAGCATGTTAGCGGTTCAAGGTGACCTCTTGGCTCCCACCGTCACTCAAACTGAACCTCCACTCAGCGAGGAGGAGCTAAATGGTTTCGATTTGGTGGCCATTTGTATGGCATTGCACCATGTCGATGATATCGTGTTGGCTACCAAACGTCTTGCCGAGAGACTGCGACCGGGCGGTGTCCTTCTAATCATTGACTGGGCAACGCGTAGTTCATCGCATAAGACTGAACAGCAAGCTAGTGTGCAGACAACTACGTCCATTTCGGAGAATCATCACCATCACCATCATCACCATCATCACCACGTGAATGATACGATAAATCCGAAACACCCCGCAGCGCATACCATCTCCCACGACAGCTTTTCACAGAGCCAGATATTCTCACTCTTTGAACAGGCAGGCTGTGGAGAGTCCCAGTTTGTGCTGGCGGATCGACTATCGCCTGTTCCCGGCGCTCGGAGTGGGGAGATGCAGTTATTCTGGGCTCGTGCAACCAAACTGTAATAGCTTTGAAAGGGTACTTTGTGTGTGGCTTTGTGTTTGATTAGTAAAATATGAATTCTTCAACCGAGACAATTGTTAGGAGACATCAAGGTATAGGGTGCAATATAAGAGTTGAGGTTAAAGGCTTTCAGAAACTAAGTTCTAGGCTATGAACCTTGACAGCAAGGCCATCACGCCCTTAAGCAAGATAAAAGGTAAACAAGATGACAGCCAAATGCCTAATAATCTAATTAGCGACAAACAATCTTGATAATAGAAAGTTTAGAATAGCGTCCTTCCCTTTTATCAAGATATTCTTCAGTAAACTTTCCGTTAGCCTAACTCTTGAGGACGGAGAGTGGTGAAAGGTGTATCTAAGAGACGAATACATACTAAATATGTACAAATAATCCAACAGAACCTCCTAAGATATATATTTAATTTGAGTAAATAGACCTTCTAGGCGACCCTTCTTTTCAAATTAACTCTCAAGTTATCCTTTGGGCTGGAGACACCGCTTGTCTTGACCCTACTATCCATATCCCATGAGCTACCCTTGACAGGCTCCAAGTCCCAACAATTTAACATGGCAGCCACAAATGCTAGGACTTCGCGCTCTGCGAGAAACCGTCCTTTGCACATCGTTGCACCTCCCCCATATGGCCGGATGGACTTTATCTCTGACTGGACGTGGCCATCATCTGCATTCACGAAGAAACGCTCCGGACGGAACTCCGATGGATTCGGAAAGTACCGCCCATCGGTATGGTGTAGATCAGAAGGGACAAGTACCGCATCACCCTTTTTCATGTGGAATGTTGTTGGTTTGCCTTTTGCTATGGGCGGGCGGGCGTCCTCCCCAGCTTCCTGTAAAATACAATCTTTCTGGAGGCGTTTGAAGGACCAAGAGGCTGAGTCAATACGAAGAGTTTCGAAGTAGCAAGACTTGAAAAGAGGACTGTTATTCAGAAGTCTCTTCCAGTCGATCTGCACCTTGTTGTTTGTGGTTAAACAAGCAGGGGCAATCTCCCGGCGGACATCCTCCAGGAGACCAGGGGTAGCATAGATGTTTCGCAACATCCAGTACACTGTCGAGTTAGAATTGGCATTGAGTCTATTCTCACCACCTTCGTTAGACCTCTTCGGCGACGTATCGTTGATGCTAGTGGAATGTGGCCACTAAACAAGGAAACAAAGGGACAAACAAGTAGGAAGATAGAAAATTACTTACGCCCATAATATAGACAAGTCTACAGCAGCTCGGGCTTTCATCGAGAATCCTCGCTCAGACCAGATTTTCTGCCGTTGTTTCATCAAGTCACTGACGTCCCCAAACGGCGCACAATCCGCATCCGAGTCGGTCAACGGGCCAACGGCTTCCATCTCTGTGTGCCATGCAACCAACTTCTCCAAGATGCGGGTTCGGGATTTCCGCGCTTTCGCAATCGATGGCAGCCAACTCGGCATGCCAAAGACAAACCCCATGATGTTGGCGTCTACCTGCCAAATATCCTCCAGGAAGTCCGGATGGGAATCGACGAATACATGCCCCATCATTTCCTTCGAGCTTAACGAGCCCACGCAGTTGCGGATGAGAGGGAAAAGATCAGCCTCTATTGTCCCGTTAGGTTGGACCTTGATATTAGCGGTACGCTCCCAGCTCCGCAAGCCTTTGTGACCCGAAGACGGCGTGACAATAGATGGCACAATTTCTTCTATATCTGTCAAGAGCTTGATCCACGACCGGTCAAAGCCCGGGCCTTTGGTCAGCTGCGTAACGAAGGTATTCATCAACTGATCGAAGTGTGTTATCATCTGTGGGACCTCGGCCGATGGAAAATCAAAGATCTTGGTGATAATATTCGATCCCATGGTCTTATGCTCGATGACAGATCCGGGCAGGGCAAAGAAGGACTTCATCAGCGAGGGGCTGTGAATGATGCAAGTATCGACGCCGAACATCTTGAGATTAAAAATGCCATGAATGGCTCGCTCGCTGTATATTCAATCGACATCAGTTTTTGCCCTCAGATTTCTGTCCAGGCACAACATACCGACAATAGCGCAGGAACCTATCTGGATCCCAGATAAATGCCCATACGTGGCCAACAAATGGCACCCTAAATGGAGCGCCTTCAATGGGGTAATGTCCAAGCTTTTTGTGGTTGAACTTTCCATTGCGTCCACGGAGAACAAGTAAAATGATCTAGAGGGATTTAGCGTTGAGCACATCCTCACATTCAAGATGAAGCGGAAAGCAGACAAGTGAGGAATTAGAGAAAAACGGGGGAGTTTATGGAATTGGCTTGCATACTAGTACTCCAAAGACCACAAATAGCAGTAGCCTTGTAGGCTTGTTCACAGCTATGTGCTCATATAGCACCTCCTTCGAAGAGTTCATAATAGCCAATTTGGAACAGATCATATCCAAAAGAGTCAATGAAAAGAGGGTATTCATATAAATTCCCAAATTTAAATACTTAATCAGCTCACCTTTATGGAATAAATAATTCATGCATTGGTAACTGTTCGGTGTCCAATCTGCGGTCTCAGTGTTCGGTCTCAGTGTTCGGAGCGACAATATCGGTCCGCCAACTATTACCATTTGTCAACCTAAGAAATAGCCCCTTCTAGGCCATAATTAGAATGGTTTTTGATGTGTCCTAGTGGTAAAATGGCTGTATTATTCGGCTTAGAGCAGAAAATAAGATGGTTGCGCAAAAGAGTGAAGTGAGGGTGTACTCGTAGGGGACTAAAAGTGAAAAATGTTCATTGGGTTTCATCATGTCATTATACTTGAATCGGAAATATTCTACAAGAATTGTACACCCGAGAGACCCAAAGGAAGTATTGCTACTTTTTTCTCCAGGAATGGAGAATCAAGTCGTTCTTCATCGGTGGCTGCACTGGGCGGGAAGAGCGGCCAGCAGGTCCCTAGCCCGGTATCCCATCTCCTGGTACCACTGAGTGTGTACATTATTTGATGGCCCTCTCGATTGCAAGACTCCACCGAGAGGCCCACCGCGCAAATTTGTGGCCTGGCTCTGTCGTTGAATAATCTCTTGAGTGCAGTACTGGATGGTTTCGACGCACCGTCGCAAATCACGCCGCACCATCGCAGCCCGGAAGATCTCTTGTTCATCCGGATCGAACTCAAGGCATCCAAATTGGAAAACCGGGGGCTCTGAACCGCTGCTGATAGCCGATTCGGGACTTGACCCATCACTCGGCATCTCACCCGGGTCAGCCGGCTTCTGAGAGGGATTGTGCCGCGAGGGCGGATTATTATGATCGGCCAAGGAGGTGGCGTCGCCTTCACCCGCGGGGTGCTGGATGCAGAGGATTACGAGCTCATAGAGCCCTACAACCAGATCCATAACGGTCGCCACTAGTAGTGGACAACTCTGGCAGCGTCGAAATTCGTCAGTGTCGGTCACCTCCCGTACCTTGGCCATCGCTTGTCGGTTCAAGCGCATCGCTTGGTCGATTGGGACCCTGGGGATCTGGAGCTGCTCTTCTAAGTACTCGATGATCTTCATCAGGGCGGCGACATGCGGGTAATCCGACACCACTGACGGATCGCGATAGCTTGGGGGAACTCTCGCGTCGATCCGTTCCGCCAATCGGGACCGCACAGAATCCGCTGTCGGCTGCTGGATGGGGAACCCCTGCCGGTTCTTATCGGGCAGCCCCAACGTGTGCGAGATAGGCAACGATGCTGGCCGCGGGCCGGATGCTGTAGATGTGCCCTCGGAACTGGATATTCCTGGACGCGGATCGAGTAGTAAGTTTTCTGTTGTCGGCCAGAAACCATCGATCGCGCCGGGCGAAACGAGCGGTAGGTCCGGGTAATCACTTAACAGGGTCTGCAAATAACTGTCGATCTCCGTATCGGTAGATATGGCGGTAGACTCCCCCATAGTGAAGATAGGGCCACCTCCCATTGCATTATTGACTATGAGAGGGGGATGCCCTGTCACGGGCAAGTTGACCACCGGGGGTGGGGAAGAAATGCTTTCCGTGCCTGACTGATTCAAAATCGTGTTGGGTGAAACTCGTGGTTCTTGCAGATGGAGAGTCTGGTCACTCGCTTTCGTCCGTTGCTTCTTCGGCGCACGACCTACCATCGACACCTGGTATTCGCAAGAGAGATCGTTCCGGCGACAACGGTCACAGCCATACTTCTCGCCGCTGCAGCGGACCTATATACAATCCATTACGGTCAGGTTGTTTGGATATGGGTACCCATCGCTCTCATTGATGGTAGACCTACCTTGGCGGCATAGCACTCCGTGCAGGCAGAACGTAGGCGTAAAGGCTTTCGAGTACCCAACATGGTGGTCACATTGGCTATAGGACTTCGCAGTGCGACACGTAGGGAGCATATGCCAGATTCTCGATGAGCCGTGCAATCTACGATAAGGTAGAACGTGCGACGATCGTGTTGGTGGGGAAGGCGAAAGGTAAGGGAACCCGGTGGACACCTTGGAAGACTGGGTCTCTGACGGGACCTAAAATGAGACTAGCTGCATGTAGTTTAGCGTGGAAATGAGATCCTTTTCTTTGTCATCCGCTTTCTTTGTCATCCTCGTTCTTGCCCATTCCATTCTGAAGGTTGCGGATACACACGCTGCGGGCAAGATTTCTGTGTTTGACAACTTGCTAGTTAAATATCGTGCAGAATTTAGACAGATGGGGTTCTTATATTGTTGCGACTCTTGATGTGCTTCGGTCGCGTAGGTGCCAAGGTATACGCGAGGACTAGATCAATTTGACAGAAATCTGACGTATTGAAATGTATGGACCTCAGGGCTGATATGGAGAACTCTGCATTTTCTACATAATAGAAACTGCTGTTTCTGTGCGGTTATGACTAAGCTAGATTACATAATCTGTATGGTATCATCCCATGTATGCAACCTTGCAATTTGACACACCCCCCCAGCTCTTAAAGCCTGCATTTTCTTGGCTTTCAGAGCTACCAAATCCTTCATTTCTTCACTTCTTCTGGATGAATCAGATGCCTGATTTCTCTCATCCCAATCATCTCTCGGAAGAGATACTGCTTCTGTCTTAGAAGCGCCTTTGTAAGTCCATCTGCAGGCATCGCTGCAGTTAGAACCCAGTCCACTTTGACTCTACCTACACTAACTTCCTACTTCATCTAGGATCGATTGATATCTATATGCCGCAGCTTCGTATATATCGTCGATCCTTCCTTCGTTAACAGATCGACTGTCTACTGATTGTCGCATATAATAGATAAGGGATGATCTAGTTAGAAGCTAAGTGCTTCAAGGACTCGACGCCACTATTAGACGGTTTTTCCGGCTTCTACTAGAGCAAGTAGCTCTACTTTAGTTGTCGACGTAGTCACCGTCTTCTATTTAGAAGCTTTCCAATCGATTAGACCACTATATAACTTATAGATATATCCTTCCGAACTCTTCCTATCTTTATTGTCTCCAAACGATGCATCGCTTATAAATTTAACTGACTTTGTAGCGAACTAGAGACCCTTTATTTCGTCTAAACCGAGGTTTTTGCTTTGTTATCTAGTGCCATACTCGATAGCCTAGAACCTAGTTTTATAGAGATATTGAATCACTCGGTCAATAGCATCGATATACTTCGGACCGGGGTTTGTCAGAAACTCAGCTAGTTTAGCTATAGCCTTTAAAGTATCTAGCCGGGAGATAGTAGTAGTATACTGAGTAGATCCAACCTTAGCCTAGAAACTATGAATCTAGCTCGGTGATGCCACTCTATCGTATAGAAGAAGCTGATCGGTAGCAGCTAATAGAGATCCTACCTTCCTAGTAGTGATTAAGTTGTATTTAGCTACTATACTCTTAATATAACTGTCTTAGTATAGCCAGAGTTTCATCTAATCTCTATCTCTAACAATACGGATATTTAAGAACTAGTTTGCTTCTAGTTCTCGTAATTCCTATTGCTTCTTAATATCGTTATCTAGTTTAGCTGCCTACTTAGCATACTTTAGATAATTTATAACGATGATATCGTCTATATAGAAGAAGACGATAATGCTATTCTTAATAAAGATATACGGATCTTCCGGTACCGGGGTAAGACCTAGCTTTACTAGTATCCTTATTGCTTCTTACTGCCACAATCTTAGTGACATTCGTAAGCCGTAGAGAGCTCTATAGAGTAGCTAGCATTAACCTTATACTTCGAATCCTTACGGATACTTAGTATAAACCTTACTTTAGAGTACTAAGTTTAGGAATGTAGTAACCACGTCTCTCTATATCATATTAAGATCGAATGCTGCTACTAAGGCAAAGATAGCTCTCGCTGTTTTAATAGCTAGGGTAGCTGCCCTTTTCTCTTCTGTCGATATCTATTAAAGATCACCTCTAACGCAGATTCTCGCTTTGAACTTCTCGAGAAATCTATCTATATCGAATTTATAGGTAAAGACCTATTTCAACGGTAGTACCTAGATTCCTCTTTGATTCGGAATTGGCACTTTGGTATAGGTTTCTTTCTTCTTAAGCGTCTGAACTTCAAAGCTTGCCGCTGCTATAAATCCTTCTCCGAACTAGTGCTTCTTGATCTATACCTAGTTCTCTAGTGGCGGGGGAAGTTCATCTCGGTGAAGCTTCTTGTCGAATCTTTTGCTTATACCTATGGAGAAGGCATAAAGCAAGCTTAGTGGTTCTATTTGGTCTTTAAGAGATAGGTAGGTAGTATAATCTGGATCCGTTCTTGGTTTCCTAGATCTACTACCGGTGATAACATTTGATATATCGACATCACCTGATATATCTCTTAGTGCTCGTTAGGATGATAATGATAGGTGGGATGACGCTCGGTTGTCTCGATGGAACTGCTCTCGATAGGACTGTTCTTGATGGGACTGCTCCCGATAGGGTGATAATAATAGTGCCGGTGACGGCGAGTATGCTATCTCCCTTTATAGCTGTCTCTCTATCTCTACTTCATCATCACTCACTTCTGTGTCTATATCCCTATCCACCCCCCCAGTTTCGATCGACGGGATCACGGAGATCGGATCTAGCGACGATGATAGTGCTTCTCTGGGTTCTAGATTCGATGGAATCGATAGATTTGGGGATACTGAGGCTAGTTTTGATGGTGATGATGATGATCTTGATGGTAGTAAGGAGGATAGTATATCTGGGAAACTTCTTGGGAAGCTTCCTGGCAGGCCTCTCTATAGATTTGTTTGCTCTCCTATTGTTTGCTCTCCCTTTGTTTGCTCCCTTGGTCTGATTATTGACTACGGGGTAGGCAATCCAGCTGCTTCCTTTCTAACTTACAGTGGGGTTCTTTGCCTAACCTCTTCTTTATCATTATTTCTATCATTTCTATCAACTGGATTATTAGCTGCATCATCAGCTGCATCAACTATATTATCTGTGGCTTACTTAGTGTGCTTAGTTTCATTATACAGTGCTATCCTAGCTATCGATCTGGGCATCTCTATCTAGGTGCTGATCTTAGCCTATACTTTATCATTAGTAAGCACCTGCGGCTAGTTGTCCTGGATGCTTAGTCTATCTATCATGGTACTAATAGCATCTTCTTCCTTAGGCATCGACGTCGATTTCGAATACCTTCTTGATTCATCGAAAACGGCATCTCTGACGACGTCGACCCTTCCATTACGGCCTTTGTGGGGGAACTATATCTTGTATAGGTTCTTGGAGACATACCCTACGAGATATCCTATCTCTGCTCTGGGTGCCATCTTATCCGACTGTACTCTCTTGATGATTCTCGAGTACGTTAGACAGCCATACAACCTTATGTTTGAAAGGTTGATCTCTTAGTGATGGATGCCATCTAGTGCGGCATGCTTCATTAGTTCTTTCCAAGATATGATCTATTGATTCTTACCGGTATCATCCTTGATCTATGTGGGAGTCCTGTTTAGGATATATACCGCTGTATACATTGCCTTAGGCTATAGGTCCTTAGGGAGATCTATATTATTGATTAGAACTCTAGTAGTTCTTACTACTATCCTCCTAGATCTCTCGGTAGGACTATTTATCTCCGGTAAGCTAGGTAGCGAATGCTTAATTATATATCCCTCGGCTTCTATTATTGTTTTAACCTCGAGACCCGCACTCCGCTTATTATCATAGTGGAATACTCTAATCTCGATTTTTAGCTAGTTCTTAATTAATGCTAAGAACTTCCTAATAATAATCTAGCAATCGTTCTTCTTAGTATAGGTAAAGACAAAATGACATCTAATACTATTAAGGTAAAAATGCGTTAACCAAACATACCTATTATAAGCTGCTTGATTCTATACTAGGTCGAAATGGACCCTTCTAAAGATACTATATATCTCTCCTATCTTCCGGCGAGAGATTTGCTTCAGGGCATCTACTAATTGACAAGCTTCACATACCTACTCCTTACTAGGGTTGCTTTTAATAGTAATCCCCTTAGTTATCTCTACTAGCTTAGTAAGACGTTGCTAACTAATGTGGCCTAGGCGCCTATGCTAAGTTTGGATTGAAGCTTCTAACTTTAGCTTACTCGCTGACTTCTTTATAGTAGTAAGAGCTATATCCTTCGACGTCTTTAGTTGTTTTAACCATATCAACTTCTAGTCCTAATATACTCTATATACCGGTTTTCTAGTAGTTATCTCGATATAGTTCTTTCTAAAGTTTATTACTAGCCCCGCTTTCATTATCAACCTATTAGATATCAGATTACTATAGAAATTAGGCGAGTACTTAGTATTATATAGCTTCATTTTGACTGCTTTGCTACCATCGACTACGCTGATACCATAGATTACTACAGTGCCTACCCCGTCGATACTTATTTCCGTATCTCCTACCCTAACGCTGCTCTATGCGTCTTCGAAAGTTTCAAACAACTCCCGATTGTTATAGACATATATCTACGCGCCGGTGTCGACTACCTATCTCCGTCTAATTGGTTCGGCTTCGTAGATTTGGGTAGATATAACGGTGGAGGTTGGAATTTCTTACTTACTAGCCACCGGCTTGCTTGCCTAGGGCTTACTTTCTTACTTACTAGCCGCCGGCTTGCTTGCCTAGGGCTTACTTGTCTTTAGCACGCCGGCCTATATAGAGAAGAACCCATATAA